GGGGAATTTTTCTGGGTATGCTTAACGTATTAAACCATGGATAAATTTACTGTTGTTGGCCATTCAGCGATCTTAGTGAAAAAATGGTAGAAATATTGCTTAGTAAAGAAATTTGATATTTTTTTTTATTAAAATAGTAAATAATAGCTGTGGTAAATTTTATTAATAGCAATAGCAGTATAAATTATTGCAATCGTACTACATGCTACTTGTAATAGTACTATATAAATCAGTTTATAAACAACATCAGGACCGTAATCGCTGTATTCTCCCATTTTTTATATTTAAATGATTGAAAACTCCTCATGCACCACAAAGTATAGCATGAGGCTTTACAGAAGTAAGTAGAAAACAAACAAGAAAATTTAAAAATTTATATTACAAACAAAATTGTACAAGGCAGCAAGACTTTCGATACATTTGACCACTTCTGATCAATTATTAAACAAGCCTTTATGACTAGTGGCCCAAGATCACGGGGAGGGGTTTCCTCATTTTCAGGGGCTAACTTCACGATTCCTTCTAGCCTTATTTTTAAAATTATGGCTAAAATAAGAATGGTAAAAATAAAATAAAAACTTAAAAGGCGGTTATTTGTTGTCAGAAATGTGAATCTTTTTATTTTCCTTATTTTCTGGGATTATTCCCCAACCCTTATTTTTATGATTATAACTAAAATAAGGGTGTTTAAAAAAAGTAATAATTGGACATTTGTGGTCTAACGATTACAATATAAACATTTGATTTTTATTTTGTTTACATATTTGAATTCTCTCATTTTCAGAGGGTAACTTCAAACAGCTCAATATATAGTGATTTAATTATTAAAAGGATATGCATTTTTAAAAATTTTCATCAGTTTTTTTCAAAGAAATTTTCAGTCCAAATTGAAATAACATAATTCAAGAATAAAGAATTATGTTTCAATATAATAACTATTCTAAACGTTTATAACAGTTCAGGGTTGGGTTTTTGCCGTCAAAAACTGGTTTTTGACATGACAGTGGTAAAAACCGTGTTTTTACCGGTAAAAACTGTCAAAAACCTACTGTTTTCGTTAAAATATGGCATATAGTGGACAATATATTATTTTTATTATTTTTGCCTTTATAAATGAATGTTGTAAACAATTGCTATTGATTTTGCGACTATATACATGTATTCTTATAGAAGGATATACATTCATACAGAAATATTGTAATATACTTATTGAAAATAGTGATACTTAACTTTTATCATTATAGCTTGATTTGCAAAGGATTAAAAATTTTGCACTTCTTAATTGTCAGAAATAAACAAACAAACAAAAAAACTTGGAACTATTAATAAATTCAAGAACTAAAGAGAAGAATTTAAAATTTGGCATTTCTTAAATATTAGAAATAAGCTAAACAAAACTTTCAAAACTTGTAACTACTAACAAACTCTAAGTCAGGAATAACTTGACATTCTTCAGTTATGTAATATGCCAAACAAAATGAGGCTTGAAAATTTTGTTTAGTATCCTAATATTTTACTTCAAATAGTATGATATGATATAATCATGTTGGGAAAATGCAAAAATCTGTTCTTAAATATCTTTTAGCAACTTTTTTTCTAATTTTATTGCCCAAAAATGAATTAATTTTAAATCCTAAGCAGTTAAACTCAAATTAAAATACAGTTTTCTCAAAACTATGGGTTTTTTACAGTTTTTGACAGAGGGGTTTTTGACATGACGGTAAAAACCATGGTATAAACCGGTAAAAACCGTCATTTGTCAAATATTTGCCAACCCTGTAACAGTTCTTTCTTGAAAACCATAATTCGGCTTACTTTATTCATTTTCACCTTCGTGCATGTACCTAAAAACAAATTCATGTGTCATTCAGGACCCGTGAATTGAACATATAACCTATAACATGAACCTGAACATATAACCTAATTTTAAGATAATTGATAAAACGATGGAAATATTTTTTTCTTCGCATTAAATATTAAGCAGTCTTTTTTTTCTTCCTTTGGTTATTATATTTACAGTTGCTAATAAACTTTGATTATTTATAAAGTCGAGGTTTCGCCAACAGAAGGTCAATCACTTTATTTTATTTTATAATCTGCGTTGAACAGCCGAGCCAATACTAAGTTTACGATTATCAATGTTCAACTCGGTAGTCTTTGTGATAGAACTAACCCTGTTTGCTTTAGAGGAGGCAATTCCGCATCCGGTTTGCACCGACCAGATTGCTGACGTGAAATATCCTCAGTGGTAGACGGATCATGGGTTAGAATCCCCTTGCCGTCAGGTTAACCGTGGAAGATTCTCGTGGTCTTCCTCTTCATGTAACGCAAATGTGGGTTAGCTCCATCTAAAAATCCTCCACGAAGGCAAATTTCTCCCAATACTCGATCCAGGAGTTCTCTTGTCTTCTGAATTGGGTTTAAAATTACAAGGCTACGGAGGTGAACATTAGTAGTCGTAAACCCATAAAATTGAGTCGGCTGGTCAACGACGGTTATAAAATAAAAACACGGAGAGGAAAGCCTCCCACGGTTAACCGGGCTACAAAGAAACCGATAAAAATTGGAAACCGCTCTTCTAAGTCTAAAGCGTAACATAAAGTTGAACACACACGCTTGCAACTTTTTAATAGAGATAGTTTATTTTAATTCTATTTGTGCACTATTTGTGGCAAGTTTTAATTTTTTATTAACATACGAATAATAATAATTATTTAAAACCCTTTTATAAGAATCAAAAGAATATATTTATATTTTGTTCTAGAAAATGTTACATCGATTATTAAAGGCTTAATACTTGTTTATCTTTCATGGACTGATTTTTTTTTTCTTTCTTCTTCTTTGTCATGCATCTTCTTTTGCTATTAAACTGATTGTGAAACTCATTTCACGTTGCAAGCCACGTGACTTCGAAATCTATAGTGATAACCTGATCAAATAGGATCTGTTTAATAGCCGAAACCAAGTGTTTTACATATTCTTGCGTTTTCTTATAAAATTCAAATTTATTTCAATTCTCAGTTTTTATCTAGTATGAATGCATATATTTTAGATAAGTAAATAAAAATGCTGTTAAAAGTATTTAATGGTAATGTTAAACATCAAAAGATGGAAAAAATTTATTTATGAGAAGAATTTGTATTTATGAGAGTAATTTATGTAAAACTTTTACAAAATTTTTTATTTGCCTTTTATTTATTTCAACCATGTACTATTTCTGCTTGTAGTGGGCCCCTTTAACTTTTTAGGTTTAATTTGCTATTTGAGTTTGTATCTAACGAATTATATTATTCTGCACAAAACTCTGTTTTCAGATATTTTTTTAAAATTTGAATTCTATGTTATTTGCTATTTTGGCTTTAAGACTATTACTAGACGTATTTTTGATTCAAAAATTTGTATTGTATTGTATTTTTATCTTTTTTTTTCTCACCTATAATTTGTATGACCATCTGTTTATAACTTCAGATAATACGAACGTGGGTATCAGTAAAGGTTTGCGGGGGGTCAAGAGGTGAGGTCAATACTAGCTTCTATTTCTGTTGTCCTTCACGCGTTCTTTCATTTGATCATTTCTCATCAAGTTTATGCGTAGTTATAAACTCACAATTTATAAATTCGGATATTTATGGGAATAGAAGTTCAAGTTTATGGTCAATTCTTTACAGTGAGTAAAATTTAAATATTCTCATCAATATTTAAACCAAAAAATTAGTCTTAAAAATTAAACAAATTTTATATACTAAGCTATGAATTTCTTTTCATAAAAAAATCTCAATCCCAAAATTTTTTTAACATAACCTAGATGGAAAAAAATAGCCCTATAATGGATGGAAAAAAATAGCCCTAAGAAAACTACTCTTACACCTGGATTTAAATTAACACACATTTGACTGAAAACTTAATATTTTTAAAATTCCCCAGTAAATGAAGCTAAAATTATATTCCTTTAATTTTCCTATGTAAATAGCTTTTATAGGTAGTTCCGTAATTGCCACTTTTATATATTTATAAATTAAATTATAACTAAAATGTACAAAGCTCCAAAAAAGACCACACTGAATAACTTCTGATTTAATGATCGGGTCTTTATGCTCTAGGATTCAAATCCTTATGCTCTAGGATTTTTGTTTTTTTTTTCCTTAAAAATTACAAAATTAGACACAATGTATTTTCTCTGAAAAAACATACCTCTTTTTTGTTGTTGACAGATTCGGATTACTGACCCTTAAAATATAGGGGTAACCTCAATCTGGGAAATATAGTCCCAATAAAAAGAGAACGGTCCTAAGTTTGGTCTCCTTAATGTTAAATTTATTTTTTGCGTATTTCGCTATATCTCGAGAACTTTTTAAGTGAATTGAAAAAATTTTGCACATATTTATAAAATTCGTTGACACAAAGATAATGCAACCGATTTCGCTCAAATTTTGTATTTTGCTATGTAAAATTACATTCTTTAAAATGATGTAAGAAAAAAGTGTATACCTTACAGTTCAAAATTTTTTCGACTATTATTAAATAAAATAATAAAAACTAATCAATATTTATTAAAAGTTTTTTCTTTGAGTGGAATTATTTTAAATGTTTTACTGTAATTATTACCGTTTAAAAAGAATTATCACGCAAAAAAGTCAAAATTCATGTTAGTAAAATAATTAATTAAAATTATTTTGGAGTTTATAGTTAGAATTCATTAACATTAAGTCTCTAACATTTATATTGTATCGTTTGCATGGGCATCGCGGGGGCCCTATTTTTGAGAGGGACGAAATTAAATTGCACAGTCACAGTAGAAAAAAAATTCTTAAATGTTCTAAATATGTACCTGCAAATAAAAGATGAATTATTTTATCTTTTTCCTGTTTTTAACAGAAAAGAATTTACTTTGATGACAATTCGCGAAAAATTTTATTATTTGGCTGAAAGGTTAAAGTGGAAGTGTACCCACCGTGCCCCCCGCCAACGGCGCCCACAATCTTGTGGAACAGTTATTGTTCAAATCGTTTGAGTTGTCATTGTGTTCGAATCATATGCTCTTTTTCTCTTGAGTGCAAACGATAAATAAATAACTGGAATAATTGATAAGAAAATATCTGGCATGGAAAGCGTTTTTCCAGATGAGGAAGGGAAATTTGTACTTCGATATTTGTACACAAAAACCTTCCACGAACGAGACAGCATTATTGTAAATACCTGCTCACGTGATAGATGATAACACTCAGACACAAGCTATCAATGTGTAATGGATTCTTTTAAGTATTATTGCGGATATGTGACGAAATAATTCACTTTCATTGAAATGTCTATTTAGCCTTGAATCTGATAACACATTGGTTGGTTTTGGTCTTATCTGGAATGTACTTAGCGTAATCATCAAAATTAATCTTTGAAAAATTGGTTCACCATTTCAAATAATGTTTGGGTGATAGTTCTTTGAGGATTTGGTAGGATCTGTGTGCCCCTCTTGCTGTGGTGTCTAAAATATCGATTTAGTATTAGGAGATCATGGGAGCGACCAACTTCATGGTTAATGTTCGCAAAAACCTCCGGGATTTGTTTGGTTTTTGTAAATGTGCTGTAACTTGTGGACATTTCAATATTTTCATACTCGCTGGGTGATATATATTTTCTGTGGATAGTCTGCGTTTGTGAACAACGTTGGATTTAGTGTTTAACGTTAAACAAATTACAATAGATAGTGTAGGTAAGTTACGTTATTATTTTTATTTCATCACATCTATTTTATTTTATAATCGTAGTTGAACATCCGACCTAATTTTACTAGTGTTAAGACGACTACTAGTGTTAAGTTCCTCAGTCTTGTAATTTTGAACCCAATCCAGAAGACAATGGAACTCCTGGATCAAGTATTGTGAGAAATTTGACTTCGAGGACGACTTTTTGACGGAACTAACCCGCATTTACGTTACATGGAGAGGAAAACCACGAAATCCTCCCACAATTAGCCTGACGGTAAGGGTGACTCTAACCTATGATTCGTCTGCCACTGAGGATATTTTACGTAACAATGTGGTCAGTGCGAGCCGAGTGCGGAATTGGTACCGAACAGCCATCGCCGGAATTCGAACCCGGTTCACCTCATTGAAAGACGAACGCTCTATCCCCTGAACCGCCACGGCTCCTTTATCACATCTATTTGATTTTATAACCGTCGTTGAACAGCCGACCCAATTTTGGGTTTACGACTACCAATATTCAACTTCGTAGCCTTGTAATTTTGAACCAATCCAGAAGACAAGGAAACTCCTGGATCAGTACCCCAAGAGGTATTGATTTGTTATGGGAACATGAAGGACTTAGCGACTCGACAGATTTAACGTGCATCAGTCACCATTTACTACACGGGGAGTCTTCGGCCGGCGAGGATCGAACCCACGACCTCNACTATTTTTTGCGGTTGCTAAATTTAATATTGCCGTTATTTCTAATACGTTTTCTGAGAAATATAAAATACAAAATGTCGGCTAACTCCATCAATTACTAATTAACAAAATGAATTTACACAACTCTCTCTTAGTGTCACAATCTTGTAACTAATTTCACTTCTAACGTAGAAAGCAAGAAAGTGATTACAAGTTTCAAAATCGAAATGTAAAAACTCGACAACCCGCGGACTTTTTTTTAAAAAACTTTTTTGGCAACTTTTCATGATTTGGTTTTAACCACTGTAAGTTTAAAAGTAACACAACTATTTTTCCAGTTAAATGAAATAATCCAAAAATAGAATATCTGATGGTGCTTCCCAGTCACAACTGGTGATGTCAACAACTCCGTATAATGAATAACCATTTGTTTCCAAGGCGAGTGTGTATCGGTATGCTATTGTGGTGCGTGACGGGGTTTTTTCCTCGATTTCGTTCGTAAAAGAAAACTTTTGTTTTTATTTCCAATACTGTCATCGCATAAGTTATTATCATATTTCAATTCCCTTAGCGGTAAAGGTGTACTCTTTTTTGTACTAGTTTTGAAAAATTGTCTTCTTTTTTATGATGCACCATGAATCGTTTGTTTTTTTTTTCCTCGCAAAATGTCTATTTAAATTGTTCGTATCAAAAATTCTCTTATGAGATTAAAAGTTTTTTAATGATATCCTTTTTAAAAAAATACTTTGTTCATCATATCGTGATCGTTGTGATAAAATTTATATTGGTTTCTTTTCTTTATCGCGTGTATGTGTTCAAGCAAAAATGTTGAATAAAGATAAATGAAAGTGACTTTATTTATTTATTAATTTTTTTTTTTTGCTTGTTTAGTTTATTTATATATAAGTAGGTACGGATTTTACTATGGTTCTTTTTTTTTTCAACCTAAGGGGTCATCAAATATTGCATAAGACCTTAATAGGGTTAAGACAGCGGTACGGTGAGTTACGGCTTTTTATTTCAACCAATTTTTTTTAAACCTTTAATAGGCTACTCTAATTTATATAATGTTTTGGTTAGTTTCATAAAATTATTCAATAAAACAAGAAATGACAAAAGTTAAAAAAGAAAAAATCCATAATTATTTCTCTTCTTATTCATGCGTAAATATCTCCATTGAAAATTAATATTCAGAATAAAATAACAAAACTGATAAATAAAGAATTATTTTTCTCTTATTACGATTCAGACAGTTTAAAAGAAATCTTTTTTTAAAAAACCATTATTTAGCTTATTTTTTCTACTTGATTTACGTATACGCCAAAAACTGCTAGAAAAAAAGCCGCTGCAGACACATAGATTCAATTGCTTAATATAAAACCTAATTTTAAGGCTCTTATTGATGAAGAAATTAATAAATTTCATTTTTCACTATAAATGTTTGAAAAGTATTATTTTTTTTAAAAAAATTTTTCTTAGCATATTCACAGTGGCTAATAAATGTGTTATTAATTCTTTTCTTGAGTTTTGCGGAAAAAAAAACTCGAAAAAAAATTGGGAACCACTGGGTTAAGGTAATTTGCTTATTTTTGTTGCCAAGAACATCCCTTTTTTCCGATTAGCTAGATTACTTAAATTTCAACTGCCGCACTGTGCCTAAAGCCAATACAAGTTATGATTGTTTCTTAAATTGCGCAAGCAAAGTTCATCGCCAATCGAAGTTTTGACCACTATTCAACGTAAACAAACAGGCTCTGAACTAAACGAAACTAGAAGAAAGATAATACTATATGTGCAATAAAAAATTTTAAACACGTTTTTCATTAAATTTTTAAAAAAAATTGAAATAATTTTATTTTTGTTATGCGAAAAACGTAGAACTCAATTTTTAATTATCAACTTATATCGCCATTTATCATAATGCACATATCGTAATGCAAATGCGGATTAGTTCCATCAAAAAGTCCTCTACGAAGGCAAATTTCTCCCAATACCATCACCAGTCACTTGATCCAGGCGTTCCCTTGTCTTCTGGATTGGACTAAAAGACAACAGAGCAGAACATTAGTAGTCGTATACCCAAAATTGATTAGACTGTTCAACGACGGTTATAAAATATTAATACTATAGTGTTTCTCTTAATTCTGTGACATGGAAATGTTAGGTTTTTGTTATAGTACTCAGAGGATAGTTTCTCTTCTTTAACTACTTTTGTCAGTGCTTTCATATGTTATTTTCTGGTACTGCAATGAATAGTCGTTTGCCCTCAGGTAGAATACAAAATATTCAGCTTTTCGGTCCTTGAACGAGCCTCTTTTTGTTTAAAAATAAAATACAGTGTACTCCATTCACGTATATTACGCAATTAAAATGTATCATTTCGTAAGAAAAGAAATTGAGCTACTTTAAAAAAAATATTCATCTTGTAAATTACTAAGAAGGAAGAAAATCTTTTCCCTTTAAAATGTTCTAATTGGTGTTTTGAAGTATTATAAGCTTTTAAAAAATAGTAGATGAGAAATAAATTATTATATGTAGTAATTATTCCATGGGATAAATCCATTGCGAAATGTGTATTGTAAAATTGCTTCAATTCAATAACATATTTTGTAATAATCAGATTAATTTTTGTCCAACATAGTACTTCAGCAAAACATGCTAGTGTGGTCTTAATTCATAAGAACTAATTATTGAAAGAAATGGCTGCACTTGTGGAATTGAAGAATAAACTTAGTTTTAAAACATATATTTCTTAAAAAATTATATAGAATATAATTTATTTTTTAACTGTGAATTAAATGAACGCAGATTTTAAAAAAATCATAATAAACGATTTTTTTTTTGGTAGACAAGCATATTATTTAGAAGTTTTGTATGTACAAGTATTATTTAATTTAAGACTAATGAAGCGAAATTGAACATTAATTTAAAATTATTCCATATGTAGCATCACAATTAGTTCAAAACAATTACATTTTAATAGATTTATTTATATTATAATTAATTTTAAAATTGAGAAAAATGACCTTTTTATGTTATTTATTTTAAAGTTTCAAGCTACATATAAATTATATGATAAAATTAAATAGTACTGATGTATCAAACAATTTTACACATAAATAGCAAAGATAAAATTCACCTGTGAAACAATTTAGTATAAAACGTTAAAAAGAACTTTGTAAATATAAATGCTGTATGTATGCTGTTCTGTCCCGCAGTGGACTGATCGTTAAGACACGGTTCCCAGCAGATCACTGAAGTCAAGCATCACTGGCTACGGTCAGTGTGCGGGTGGGTGACCACTTGGATCAGTCTGCGTAGGGACCGAGGGTGTGCGGTATTGGTCCTCGTTAAACTGTGCTACCGTAAAGTGCTCGACTTCGCGCGCAGGTCGTCGGGCTACCAAAGCGGGGGTGCCATCCCCTCCGCAGAGGATCAAAATTGTGATGGCATGTCTTCGGATCATCCTCCGGGATGTTTCCCAGACCGTCGCCAATAGCCCATTGTGCAGCTCTAGTGCGACGTAAATTAACAACAACAACAACAATGTATGCTGTTCTAGTGTTCCGCAGATAAAAAAAACTTTGTAAATATAAATGCTGTGTGCAAGCTGTTCTAGTGTTCCGTAGATAAAAAAACTTTGTAAATATAAATGCTGTGTGCATGCTGCTCTAGTGTTCCGCAGATAAAAAAGCTTTGTAAATATAAATGCTGTGTGCAAGCTGTTCTAGTGTTCTGCAGATAAAAAATTTTGTAAATATAAATGCTGTGTGCATGGTGTTCTAGTGTTCCTCAGATAAAAAACTTTGTAAATATAAATGCTGTGTGCATGCTGTTCTAGTGTTCCGCAGATAAAAAACTTTGTAAATATAAATGCTGTGTGCATAGTGTTATAGTGTTCCGCAGATAAAAAACTTTCCAAATATAAATGCTGTGTGCATGCTGTTCTAGTGTTCCACAGATTGACCGAGTAGAACGGATATTTGGCTTTCGATCAAACATAGAGATATAAATTTTGAATTACAAATACTACGATCATTTCTTTTGTTTATAAATTATTATATGGAGCTCGAAGATAGTTTTTCATCATTCGGAGATATAAAGATCTGATTCGGAGATATAAAGGACTCTACTTGTCATGTATGTCTTATGACGTATTTGATATAGATTGTTACATCAAATTTAAAAAATATCAAATTAAAATATTACAATTTTTTTATAATCTGTGTATTAACACAGATTTGGTACTGTTAATAAAATTAATTAATAATTTTGCCCGTTTACCATTGCAACTTCATTCACAAACTTGTGTTTTAAATTCTTAAGTACCTTTAAATAAGGGATAATCGAATGTTAATTAACGTTATCATTTTTATTTTTTGTATGCGGATTACAACCAAAGATAACTGGAATTTTCTTTAGTAATAATCATATCGTGTGATTTTACTGTCCAATGAGAATGCTAACTATAAGACGATAATAATTTTTTTAATGATTTAATGAGAAATAAATATAAATAATTGAAGCGGTCAATGTTAAAAGTGGTTATGTTACAAATTATCAATTTCGATAAAAACCAAAAATCTGTGTCAATTGTGGAAAGATTCTTTTAATTGCTTCCAAATGGTTGGATTCTCTTCTTAAGACTGTCTAGAAAATTACTCGGTATTTGATAATCGGTGATGAATATTACAAAACCAACAAAAAACTTATTTTCGCAAAACTTTTACTTACCCCCTGTTAACATAAACCGCTTCAATTAAAAACGCAGTTACCGATTTATTTATTTACTTTTTGCTCAATCAATTATTCTGCCAGAAATTCATTTTTTGCTTCTATCACACTTGACTATTCAATAGAAATTTTATTGAATAATGTATTTATGTTATCCATAAAATGTTTAATGCCCTCCATCACTCAATCTAAACGTCTAATGATATCTAAAATAAAGCTGTTTTTTTAAATACCATTGTATCTTTAATAGTTCTTTCATTGTATTTCTTTTCAGTAGATTCACCCCTAAGTGGCATGGACTTAAGCCAGATCGCTGAATTAGCTACAGCTATGATGGAGACTTGGGCACCAGCCAGCAGTAGTTCAGAGCTCGTACCAAGCTCTCAGAGCCTTGGCGTCCAACAGTCGGATCAACAGCAAGCAAATAAAATTTTGGGCACCACCATCAAGCAAGAAGTGGCTGCTGTACCCAGCGAATATGAATTTATTCAAGCCATACCTTTGCCTGCCTATTTTCAAGGGCAAATGAACCCGTTAGTTTCTGAGCAAGTGCCAATGGACGATTATGATCCTTTAGAATCATTCTCATTCTGGGATGGTGAGAATTTTTATTCTCATACGGACTTCGATGCGTGCGGTCCATCTGGTTCAACCGATATGCAGATGGACAGCACAATGCCAACCTTACCGGAATACATGAATGAGGACGATATGTCAAGAGATGACGAATTCCCGGGTAAAGAATTCGATCCAACCCTCGCTGAATTGAATTCATGCGGGGACACAGCTTTCGAATTCCCTGTCAACAACAATTTTATGTCTGAGGATAGTCCATTTCAGTTATTATCTACTGACAGTATGTCTAAATCTTTTGCGAACGTTGAAAGCCACTTTGTGGCTTCACCTGTCAGCAGTAGTATCGCCAATAGTTCCTTCTCTAGTGGTATCAATTACATCCCAAGTGGATTTATCGATATCAAACCTAATGTACAACCCCAAATGTCATCCAGTTGTCCGGTTTCTTCAAGATTAATTACGAGCCCACAGTTTCTGAGCCCTCCTTACGAAGAAAAGTTCCTTGTATGCCCACAGAATAGTCCAGCCACTGAAACATTTTTGTCCTCGAGAGCTCAGTCTGTGGAAACCAAACATCAAATATCTCCTAGGCCTCGTGCTCCGACCTCTCCTTTGATTGCTGCGCAAAGCAGCAGGCTTCAGGAAAGCAATCTGCTTTCGTCTTCAGCTCCTCCTGATGTGACGATGGCGACCTATTTTGCAAAAATTAAGACTGAACCACCGTCTCATTCGCCGGGACAGAGAAGTGTCACTGAAAGATCTCTGAGTGGATTCTCTTCATTGTCCCTTTCCAACGACGATGAAAGTGGTAGTTTCTTTGACGATGAAGATGAAGAGCGGGATGAAGAGGACGACTTTTCATCTGATGAAGGTAATAATTTTCTTATGATTAATTTAATAAGGGTAATTATTTTCTTATAATAATAATTAGAATAGGTAATAGAAGAAGGTAATAATTTTCTTGTGATTATTTTAATAAGGGTAATTATTTTCTTACAATAATAATTAGAATAGGTAATAGAAGAAGGTAACAATTTTCTTATAATAATAATTAGAATTGGTAATAGAAGAAGGTAATAATTTTCTTATAATAATAATTAGAATGAGTAATAGAAGAAGGTAATAATTTTCTTATGGTTATTTTAAATAAGAGTAATTATTTTCTTATAATAATAATTGGAATAGGTAATAGAAGAAGGTAATAATGTTCTTATGATTATTTTAATAAGGGTAATTATTTTCTTAAAATAATAATTAGAATAGGTAATAGAAGAAGGTAATTATTTTCTTATGATTAATTTAATAAGGGTGGTAATTATTTTCTTATAATAATAATTAGAATAGGTAATAGAAGACAGTGATAATTTTCTTATGATTATTTTAATAACTGTAATTATTTTCTTATAATAATAATTAGAATGGTTAATAGAAGAAGGTAATAATTTTCTTATGATTATTTTAATAAGGGTAATTATTTTCTTATAATAATAATTAGAATAGGTGATAGAAGAAGGTAATAATTTTCTTATGGTTATTTTAATAAGGGTAATTATTTTCTTATAATAATAATTAGAATAGATAATAGAGGAAGGTAATAATTTTCTTATGATTATTTTAAATTTTATATAAAATTTTAAAATTAATATCTCGTTAATTAAGAGTCGATTTGATTATTCAAGCTTATCCGCATTTCATTAGAAAAATTAGTATATGCTGTTTTTAAATATAAATTCAATATGTGATTTGTAATATTATTAATTTAATTTATGATATTTTAACAGTTCTTAATAGTGTTTTAACTAAGCTGTTTTACTTAAAATATTGAGGGGGGGGGGAAAACTTCAGATACTTTTCTTATAATAACAGATACTTTTTAACCTAACAAAAATTTTTTTTTTTACTATACTGTTTTTTATAATTAAAAAATGTCAAAATATATTTTTGCTTGTAATTGGGGAAAAAAAATACTTCAGGAAAAAAAAAAATACAAATGGGACACTGATGTTCCCATCTGCGTTTAAGGGCTAATCTGTTTACAAAATCGCTGTAATAAATGATATACACTCGAAATATTCAAATTACAGTTTGTTATTGCTTTTTTTTTTTAATGTGTCAACTTTTATTTCAATGTTACAATGTTTATATTTACTTGTTCTTCTTAAAATTAGGTCAGACTATTTAAATGAAGGATGAATCGAGCGTGATTAATCTCTTTAGGATTCAAATGGCGACAAGTTACTTATCGTTTGGTTTTAAAAAGAATATTTTTTATGCTAATTTTTGCATTTGATTCACCTTATTTGATGAAACCAGACAAAGATGTAGATTTATGTATATTTTTTTCTTCTTAAAATTATGCATGCATATCAAGAAAGCTCCTATGAACTCTCAAGGTCCCTTTTAAACCAGCATTACCAGTATCCCAAGTAGAAAAGGCTAACAGCCGAATTAAGTGTATAAGAATCTTAAAATGGCTTTCAAGGTCATGCCGCTTGTGTTTATCAATAGCAATAAGGTATTTAATTGCAGGAATTGAATTGTATATTTGTCATTGGAATTTGGAATGTCAAAATAATAATGCCTTTGTATGAGGGAGGGGGATAAATCTGAGAGTCGTCTGAAAAAATATTTTTGGCGCCGAACTGTAAACTTAAAACTAGTAGATAGTAAAAAAAAAATGATAAGATAATTAAGTTTTTATGAATAATTTTAGCATTATCCTTTTTAATATTTTTACATTCCCTTATATCTTTTGTGAAAGTAATAAGTAAATAAATTTATAAATCTCTTTTATTAAAGATACTTACTTAGTTTTTCCAAGTTTTGAAGATACAGAAACCAAATCATTATCATTTCTTAGCCTTCATTAATAACTTTTATGTGTTACCTAATGTATCGAATAAAATCAATCCTCGGTCGATAAGCCTAACAGTTTAGAAGTTATTTTCAAATTTAACTTTTTTAATTACTTATCAAATACGATTCTTTACAAAATTATGGGAATATATTTTTTTTTTTTTTTTTAAATTTTATCTTTCATGTGCACTATGAAAATGCTCATAACTTGTCCAATTTTGAACAAACGCTTTTCAAATTTTAATTTTGTTATTAATTAAAATCTGTACCATTTTTTAAAAAAATTTTATATAATATTTTAAAAGTTATAGCAAAAAAAAACTAAGACAAAAAAAAATTTAGTTTTTATATAGAAGTCTGTATCTTTATAAATAATTAAGCTAGGCTTACGAAAATTTATGAAAATATTGCATATAGACATCAAAATAAAGCGAGACAAGTTATAATTGCAATATTTTCTGCTGTTCAAAAAACACTTTTTTTTTTTTTTTTTTTTNTTTTTTGCTCTCTGTTTAATGCCAGTTTCTCATCAACTATTGTAGGATAGTGTATACTTGAACTTAAATTAACTTAACAGAGAAAACTTGAACTTAAATTAACTTAGAGAAAAACTTAACATAATAGTGAAAAATATAAGTATGCGTACCTTAATTTTATTTTATAATCGTCGTTGAAAAGCTCACCCAATTTTGGGTTTACGACTACCAATGTTCAACTCCTTAGCCTTGTCATTTTGAACCTAACACAGAAGACAAGAGAACTCCTAGATCGAGTATCAGGACAAATTTACCTTTGTGGAGGACTTTTTGATAGAACTAACCCGCATTTGCGTTACATGGAGAGGAAAACATCCAACAGTTAGCCTGCCGGCAAGGGGACTCTAACTCATGATTCATCTACCTTTGAGGATATTTTACTTCATCACCATGGTCGGTTCGAGCCGAATGCGAAATTCGTATCGACCTGTCTTCTCTGGGATTCGAACCCGGCTCACATCATTGGAAGGCAAATGCTCTTATCCCCTGAGCCACCACGACGATTCGCGAACCTGAATTATTTTTTAACCGACAAAATACTTAATATTTTTCAGAGCAAAAATTTGGCTATGTTTTCATGATATAGTCATCTGCTGATGACTATATCTTTTTTTCCAATTGTATTTATTAATTTTTTACATCCTTGTCCATCTGTTCCTTTATATGTTATTAAATCAGTCATTCTAGTTTTAAATATCCTCATTTTTTAAAATGATTTAAAGGTTATACACATGAAAAGTGGACACTTGTGTGCCAACATCAGAAATCGGAGTAGCGTTAGCAGCACCATAGTTCAAGGTTCAAGTGTTTTGCAGATTAAAAGGATGGGTTCAGAACAGAACAACCAGAAATAATGCGATTTTAATGGTAGATAGTGGAAAGATGATAGATTGCACCATTTCTTCATTCGAGCTAAGTTCTGCCGAAATCACTACTTTAATATACAACTTATTATTTCATTCGCAGATGCATTGGTTTTAGAGGTGAACATGGCATTTGCTTTATGGCTCTTTGCAGTTTTATGTACACCATTCCTGAAAACTTTTACACCATTTGTTAATAGCCCTTAACAACCACCATTCACCATTAATAGCAACCATATGATGATATATGTCGATGTTGCATTTATTCTCCGCCTGTAAAATTTCCATGACTATGCATTATTTTTTTCTGGGTGCATTCATCTTGGCACGACTTTACATTCACTTTAGAAACTTTCATGCGAACATTTTAATCTGTTTATTTATGCAATCTGCGTTGAACAATTCTTACTTAATCTCTTGAAGGTAGTACTTCTGATACTGTCACTCATGTTCACTTATAATTTGGGCAATTTTCATACTTCTTAAATCCTGTTTTCACAGCTAAATTCCATATTTTTTCAGATGTTTATCAGTATGATAGTGAAGAACTCTCTACCAGTTGGCCTTCAAAAGAAGAAAAATCATGCCAACCTCGCAAACACAGATACTTTTGGCAATATAACCTTCAATCGCGAGGTGCCAAAACACAGAATGTTCTCCCTCGTCTTGAATCTACGGATCCTCATATCTTGCATGACGCTTTTGATCCAGTCTTCTCTGAGGAGTGTGCTCTTCCTGTCAAACATTCTGGTAAAGCTCGACGTGGAGATGGGAATGACCTGACTCCTGATCCACGAAAACTGTACAATATTGGACTTGAGTTGAAAAAGTTGAACAAGTTGATCTATAACACTAATCCAGAAGGAACTGGACATGGAAAACCTCTTTCTCGAAAGGAAAAAAACAAACTGGCATCAAGGTAATTTTTTATTACTATACTATTTACATGTGTGCTGATGACTTAACTTTTGGTTGTAGAACTTAGTTAAATTTAAATTGAAGATCTTCTGGATGGGATGGCTTGAAAAAAGGAGTGCAATGCTCTAAAAAGGGGGCAGGGGAAAACACTAAAAATATTTATAGAAGTCTAAATCTATTTTTATATAAACAAAAGCAGAAACTATTCTGTAGTGAAATTTTATTATTTCATATAAAATATTTTAAATTTTTTAATAAATTCAAATAAACTTTACAGTGTTGTGTTGTGATCTAAAACCACATTATGAAAAGTTTTTACCAGTCTTCATTGCTTCTTTATAAAATATCTTGCTTGTGTCAACTATTTACTTTTTAAAAAATTAATTTCATAATAAAAATAATAGCTGTTAAAATTTATTGATGTCAGTTGTTAATTGGATAGTCCTTTTATTGAATGCTTGGGGCTGTTGCCCCCTTTATCCCCCCTTTCACTCTACTGGGTAAGGGATTATCAGGAGAAATCAATGTAATCAATACTTCACCCAAATTTGCAGTTATAAAATTTTTTGTTAACACTTAACTGTTAACAAATTACAATATTAAAACTACGGGTATCAATTAAACTCTTTTATAAAATGGAATTAACATATATTCTTAGACATCATGAAAATGCTGAATTTTATCCCTATTTTAGTAAAAATATTTCAGATTACTTTCTTTGTAGATTAAGAGAAATGGCCAACATGTTTTCATAACTGCACTAAAAGTACCTTTCATGTTCTACAATCAAAAATTTTTCATTTTTTATATCCTCAGTATTGTATGTATAGTTGATATTTTTGTTTAAAAATAACCCTTTTACAGTGGGTGGTGTAACTTTCAAAAATAACACTCTTTAGTTCTCTAACTTTATTTCATTTGCACTACATTGTTATAATTCTTCTATGTCTATATTTGTGTAAAAATGTTAAGCCCTTTCACTTAAGGCAGAAATTAAGTCTAATGGCGAATTAAAATTGATGCTACTATAAATTTTATTTTTGTGAAATATCTTAAAATAGATATTTTGATCTCTCTTTCTCTCTCTCTCTTTCAAATAAATTTACACTTATGCTACACAAAAATAGAATTCTAAACATGTAAATTTATTTACTGAATTTGTTGTCTATAATTTTAGGGTATGTCGGTTAAAAAAGAAAGCTCAACATGAAGCAAACAAGATTAAATTATATGGTCTTCAACGAGAACACAGTGAGTATTCCCATTTTCGTTAATAGTTAAATTTCCACCATTAATTTTAATTAATATATTTATTTTTATTTATCTTATTTGAGAGTAATTTTGTTAATGAAAGTAATAGTTTCATATTTTATTTCATTTCCTTTAAAAAGAAAGGCATAAATTTTAGTAATGGCTGTGTTATCAATAATGACCGAAATAAATGGGACGATAATCCAATAGGGATGAATGGGTCATTACTCGAATACTCGGCATACACTTGCCCAGTATTCTCTAAACTGCTTTTTTAAGGTAAAAGGAGATTGTACAGTATTCAGTAAAACTTATATCAATAACAACCAAGCCAAGTATTCTTTACATCAATGTTTTTTAAGGTAATGGGCCATCTCTAGGTATTCTCTATATCAGTGTTTAAAGTAAATGGCTATTACTAGTTATTTCCAACCTCAATGTTCAACCCACGTAAAGAAAAATAACCGAGTATTTCTTAATTCAATGTTGAGCCAATACCAGGCATTCCCTACAGTAAAGTTTTTTAAGGTAAAGGGCTATCGTCAGGTATTTAGTACTTTGATGTTTTTTTTTATAGGTAAAATATCAAGGTGTGCTCGTAATAACAGAGCTTTATATACATTTTAGCACAAAATCAGTAATAAAAGGAATTAGCACTATGAACCAAGTATTTCCTGAAAGAATAATAAATTCAGTGGCGCAACTGCCCATGGAGGGCCAAGGCAAACTATGCCCAACCCAGTTTTCTTGTTCTTTGGGCTGTGAGGTGCAGGAGTTGATGTTCCAGTTTGGTGGTCAGCCGGGCCTAGAAACCCCCAGTTTTTAGTCCCGAAGCATGCTTGGTACTCATTTTATCAACCCCACTAAAGGGATGAAAGATTAAGTTAGACCGCGTTAAGTTAAGACCGCGAAATTCTACCACTCAGCCGAAGAATATAGGAAGAAGAAGTCAAGCTCTTCGATTGTGGAACTAACACAGGGAATCCCTCGATGCTATATACTATATCAGAAAAATAGCTTACAGGAACCAACATACTCAGATATAGCAAATCAGTCATATTTACTAAGCTCCAGCACATATGCATAAGAAGCAAAGTGACAGAGGAGATACGTCACCTTTTAACTGGTTTTTGGATAACTCTGAATGTATGCTTCCCCGCCAACCGCCATTTCATTCTTTCTATCTATCTCAAAATGTCTACCATATTTAATCAACATAGATTATATAAATGTGTTATCAAAGAAACATCTTAATTAATAAAACAGTACTGTTTATAAAAAGTGCAAAAATGCAAAACAAATCAACAATGCACCAGGTTTTGGTGGATCGGTTTACATTAGGTCTATCGAAGGTAGCTTTTCTTCCCTATGTATATATTCTTTGACTCAGCCAAAGGTCGCGAATAAAAAACTTAAGTTATTTCAAATATTAATAATTGAAAAATAAATATTCACAATTAACTCTTTCAACTATGAGTTTTTAAAATGTAAATGCTACCCAAAACAAGAGGTATTCTTTATTTACTTTCAAATTATTGTATGGTCGCTAAAGCTGAATTAGCCTGTGTTTTATTCCCTTTTACTATATTACTTAAATACTAAAACTTTTATTTTTTGTAGAAAAATTGCTTGACATTTTGGTGGATACAAAAGAACTTCTTTCTTTTAAAATTGAGAACCTTCATGAAAAGAAACTTTCAAACTGTTCCAAAAAGCTTGTAACATTTTTGGCTGCAAATGGTATGTATTTTATCAACATCAAAATTAGTTTTATTTTCCATCTATTTTATTGTAGATTTGAAAAACGATAGTCCATTGGTTCGGGATCACTAAAATTTGACTTGAACCACCACAAGATATATTTTTAGTGGTCTCCCAGTCCACAATCTATTTAATGGAATGGGACATTTTTTGATTTTGTGTTACATTTAGTGTTTTTGCTGCTAAATTAATCAAGGGCATTACACATACTCTGTATTGTAATTTTTCATCGAAATTCACTCTATTAATCTTTGCATGTACATAAACCAGTGAAAATATGTACGAGGTAATACCTTTTAGTTACTTGTACTTTACATCAGTGAATATTTTTTTAAAACTTTCTATACCAGAGAAGAGAAAACAAGAGTTATAATGTAGAGAGAGAATTAAATGAATAAAACTCGAAAGCAAACCTAAAAAATCAGTTAAAATGTTTTAGGGTTCTTATCTGTATTTTACATTATTTTCTTATATTTTATGTTTGTTTTAACTACTCTTTCATTATGTAAAAAATAAAAAAATATTTACTTTTTTTTTAATTTTGTGGTTTTTTGAATTGTAAATTTTTTTTCCAGAACCACGTAGAGTTGCTGGTAACACAGCTACATTTGTCAATGAAATTTTGGATGCAGTCGCCAAAGGAGAACCGGACGGTGGCATGAATCAGCTGTAAGCTACCTGTTTCGAGTCGTTGTAACTCTTTAAGTTGTTAGTTCTGCTTTTACAACTGATGATTATACCTTTTTTTTATTATTCTAATAATTTTTATTTATAATAATTATCTATAAATATATCGTGTTTTATTTTATATTGCATTATTGACAACATTTGCAACTTGTTTCAGTTATAATAGAAACTTTTTTTTTAATAGATATATTTAATTATGACAATTTATTGTTTGTCTGAGAGTTTATGTGAAAAGATTACAAGCCTTATTGTAACCATATTTTCATCTTAAGAATAATTTTTCTCCATATTTATTGTTATCGTATATTTTAAAAAAATATTAAATACTTTTAACCTTATTAAAAATCTTTATATTTATCCCACATAACTGGAATCTTAATTCTATAACAAAAAAAAATTTTTACAGTGTTTTTTCCCCTAGCTATGTGATGAAAAGAATTTCTTGATTAGCTGTTGTTATCTTAAATTGATTGTTATCTTTAAATTTACGATTATTTATGAACTAACTACTTACAGAGTTGTATTGCTGCATCATATCATTGTATGTTTCATGTGACCATACATGATATCGATTGTAGTGCTATTTTGTAACTTGTGCTTTCAGATTGTGCCTTCATCTATTTATTCTGTGGGATAATACAGATTCTTTATCTGTATATGAGTTGTAAATGATAAGTGTTTGAAAAAATGCATCAATTAAGGATTGATATTGTTTCAGATTTTCTGTGCAGAAGAGTATCACCAGACTTTAAGTGTACAGCTACGTTTGTATATAGTGACATCTGTTTACCATTTGAAGAAAGAATGTTAAGGAAAAAAAATTCTGCTCAGAATCTGATTTATGTGTGAATTATTAGTTGTTAAGTTTAAATTTTATACTTTGTTTCAATTATTAAACTACGTAATTAAAGCTTTAAAATGAACTGTGAACTATACATTTTTATAATTTGTTGTTTTCTAATTAAGTTTTACTGTAAGTAGTTATATTAAGTTTTTATTACTAATTTTAAACATTTATTAACATTAATAGATGTTGTAAAATTATTTTGTAATAGCTCATAAATAAGTTTTAAAATATACTTATAATATTTGATGCCTTCCCTTTTTAACAACTGAATGTACCTATTTAAACAGTATGTTTTTTTTCAATATATAGTATATATATATTTATAAAATATATCTTTGAAAAATAATTTTTTACTGTACCATTGCTCTTATTTTTTTGTAATTTATTTTAATCTTATATATTAGTGAATATATATTTAAGTTTAAATATATATTTAAATCATCTGATCGATATTATATAATAGATTATCATATTGGTGGATAATCTATTATCATATTGATAGTTAATGATTATAGGAATCAGCAATTTTTGTTCTGTTTTCAGCTTTAAACAAAAATTTTCTATATAAATATGAAATTTGTCTCTAATTAATTTTTATTGCCAGCCGCAATGTTTTTACTTCTCATAATTTTACTTATTAATTATATCTAATTATGTTTTATTGTAATGTAGTTTTTATTATATTTTCATGTGAACAATTATTTTAGTTTTAATATTGATTCAGATAGTAAAATGTTTTTCAATAGTTTTTAAACAAAACAGCTTTTTTTTTAGAAATTAAAATCTATTTCTTCCCTATTATAGAGCTATTAAAGTACCTGCTAGTTAAAATATCTATGCAATTATATTAATAGTAATTATATTTCAAATGAAAATTAAGAAGTTTATATTGTATTTTCAATTCATTATTTTTACTGAATAAGAGTAGCACTGTACTGCATTTCATTCTTGTTGACACTATAAATTACTTTCTTAATCACTTTTCTATCTATTTCACTTTTTTCTTAGCTGTAGTGTTAATTCTAAAAATCATTTAAATCATCAAATGAGCCTTCATCATTTTGTAAGGAAATTTCAATATAATCTTTAATCTGAAAATAAAGTATTATTATAATTTATTTAGTTATTTTCTGCATATAAATATGTATATATCTACAGAAATAATATGTATATATCTACATAAATAACGAGAAGTTTTGGAAATAGAAAAATATTCAATAAATCTAAATTCAATGTTAATACCAATTATGCCATACTTTGAAGGGGCTGATGAGATTGTGATAAGAGAGGGGAAGAAATATGGCATCATATTGATTAAAATTAAAATAATCAAAATTGTATGTATTATATATTTTTTTTATCAAATCTAATCATTATCATTGTTATCACATATCTTGTCATTACTATTGTTATGATCACAAATATCATTAAAAAACCTAGAGTTCAAAAATAAAATTTGAAATATGATCTATACCATGTTTTGTTTATATTATATTGTTTGACAAAGGGATATGGTGAACTGTATCACTATGTGACAAAAGGGAAGAGAAGAAATTTTAAAAAAAATGTTGACATTTATAAATGACCCCTAATCTGTAAAGAGAAGTTAAAAAGTATTTATCAAACTTTGATTGTTAAGCTTCATTAAAATGTATTTGCCTTTTCACTAACTTTAAAACACTGGTTAAGATTTTTAGTGATTCTACAGCCCTTATATATGTTTGTGCATCAAGTAATATTTATTATTTTGAGCACTACATTCTTTTACCTTTTTTTTTAAAAAAAAATCGTTTTTTATTGCTTCCAAATATATATTTTCCCTGTTAAATCCATATAAAAGTTTAAGAAATTGCTCACTTAAAGCAACTGCTATATTTTTTTATTAAATCTAAAACTTGTTTCGACGAGATTATTATTAATGGGTCATACTGTACACATTAGTGGAACATGTAATTGAATGAATATATGATCTAACGAAGTATGTTAGAATCTAAGGAAATTTATAACCTTCCACAAATAATTTTGTAGATTATCTGGTGAAGTAAATTATGTCTAGTCAAATATATATATATAATCTAAAACATGATTATCTTTATATGAAACTGTACTATTTGACTGTTTCAATCTGTTTAAAGATATTTGGTAAAAAGCAAGCTTTTGATTTTTAATTATTTTTTTTTTAATCTTAAGTTTAAAGTTAGGTTCCCTTAGAACTATCTTTTTCATTTTTTTTGTGGATTATCAAGATTTCTTAATCTTAAAAGTTTTTCTCAACTTAAAAACAGTAAAATTAGTCACTTATTGAAATAAAATGTGAAATGAATTTTGAAATGTCTATAGTATATTTATGAAATAAATTTGTATTATTACGAATTTATTTTAAAAAAAAAAATAAATAAGCATAAATTTTTTTATTATTATTCATTTATTTATCATTTCAAGTACTTTTGTCACTAAAGTTGAAGAGTTTTATGACTGAATGTCTTAAAAAGGATATTTTTTCGTGTTTATTTTCCTTAAATGTATACCAAGACGAAAGAAATCAATTTTATATGGTCCTTATAAATTTTCTTAAGTAGTTAAGTATATATATAGCTGTATGTACATGGAACCCATATAATAAGATAAAAATACAAAGAAATAAAAAGGAAAATCATTTTTTAAAGAAGGAAAAAAACTATCAAAAATAAAAAATTTTAATTAAAAATTCTATTAAAAAAGTTAAAAAGCCAAAAAAAATTTTATTTTGTTTTCCGGCTTTTTAATTTTTAAAAAAATTTTTTAGAGCAAAGAATGTTGTTAAACAATGCATTAGTTTGCAATGTATCACTTAAAGTAAAGAGACTAAAAAAAATTTCTTGAATCCATAAACTAGAATCTAGGATTATAAATTAAATAAAACATTTTACAGCTTTAATTAAAGTTGAAAAAATTAAAATTTGCTTGTCCAAATATCTTTAATAAAACATCAAAATGATTGTCACTGATAATAAGAAAGCTGATTCTTAACAAACTTGAAGTGTCTTAAAAAAACTTAGCATGATTACCAGTTGTTGATATAACTTAATACATTATTATTACCATTGAACCCTCTTTAGCTGATAGTTATTTGTTGAATCATTTCTAGTCTTATACAACTCATTTATGTTATGTTATTGAGAATCATTCACATGCACATGCTTATTGATGTACCATTATTATTTAGCATTATGTTCAAGTTCATATTATAAATGTGAAATGTGTGGAATATTTACTCAACAAACATTGCTATGTTATACATATATATTATGAATCATGTTATTTGTTAGTATCTAATTATAAGTAGTTGATGTTTATAAGCACGTGATATAGCATTTCCATGCTAATCTGTGCTTATTACTTCATTATTCTTAAATAAAATTTCATTCCGTATTAATATTTATTAGTGGGATATTGCTGTACTCATATATTATCATATTATATGCTACTGTTGGTATAACTTTATTAACTCTATTTACAGAAACATTCTCAGGCACTTAAATCATCGGTAAAGTTTAAACTAACCTAATAATGCAGTTTTCTTTTTAACGCTCAATTAATGGTAATGTTAATGAAACCTGTGAAATTTTAGACCAATTCTGTCATATCTTGACAGAATTGTTAAATTTGTTTTCTATTAAACACAATAAATATTAAAATCTGTGGCATTATCATAATTCCTATATTTTTTTTGTAATTTTATTTCATAAATAAAATAGTGTTTAATTGATTTTAAAAATTCTCTGTTTACAAATGCTACTATTATTTTTTCAAAACCAAAATAATGATAATCTAAATGCTAAAAATTAATATTCTGATCAACGTATAATTTTTTATATTTCCTTTGATTTGTAAAATATGGAACTTAATCCCTCTTAGTGTATTAGTTTTCTTATAAAATTTAATTGATAAATATGAATGGTTCCAAAATATTCTATGTATTCTCACTATCTCATAAAGCTTTCATTGAAATAACAATTATTAAAATAATAGTATAAGATATATAAATGTTATTTTACAAAAATGTGTTAGTTTTTACCATAACTGTGTTAAATTACAACCAAGCAATGATGATACAGTGTTGATTATTAAGATTGATTAGGAAATATATGTATGTTTAAATGTTTCTGAAAATAATCTATAAATTGTCATACAAAATCAAAGCTTTTTTTAATTTTTTTTTTTAATTTTAGTATTCAGAACAGATTTGATTTGTAGCTCATCTTTTCTTTGGTTCATTGAAAACTCATTACAATGAAAATTAGTTTTGTGTTTTAATTCATTAATAATTCTAATAATTTCGTTAATAAGTTATTTTTATTCTTAAAAAAAATATTATTGTTATGAAGGAAGTATAGTTTAAGTGAATTTTATATATATATATGGTTTCGTGAATATTTCATATTAATTTGATTAAAAATCAAGAGTTAGGTTTCTATTTGCTTCTTTAGATTTCTGTACAAATCGTAATTTATTTAAAGGAGAAAATTTTTATTGAAATTCAGAAAAAATTATTTCCACTTTCAATAATAATTTTTTTTTTCTTTTGCAATATGTGCTTTTATTTTAAAAGGATGTTTTCAACCATATTTATAAAATGCACAAATTTTTATAAATGAATATTTTTAATATATTCAAGGGTGAAAATATGAAAGAGTACTTTTCAGTCCACTTTATTTGTGGTGTCATGTTTGAAGGCTTAGAGATTCATTTTTATATTCACATTTGTTAATATAGTCATTGTGTGTACATATGTTTATTTATCTTAGATTCAAGCGGTTGCCCTTCTAAAATGCTGTTCCTGAAATAGCTTTGTGTCAAAATATCTGTGATTTAGTCCCAATGTGTGTACGTAAAAACTGTGATGTTATATTTGCAACATATGTGCATTTATTTCTGATTGTTGTAAATTTCTAGTGGCATAAATTTGTTTATTTTTGTTCTATTTTCTTCTTCTGTCTCATTTGTCATCGATTGTTAACTATTCTTCTTAGCCATACCTGTTTGTTGATAGTTTTCATTTAATTATGAAAACGTTTTATTTCAGAGTTATCTTTTATAGTTTCATTTACGATATGGTTTTAAATTAATAAACAAATTTTATTATCATTTAGGCTTAATACATTTTCTATTTTACATTATGTTCAACATAAATTTTGGATTATCATTTAATTGCAATAGAAGATTAAAAATTAGGACACGTATTGTTCTACAATTTAAAATATAAGGGCATAAATTATTTTTTCTATTGCTTATCTGCTGAAAATATTTCCATTTTTCTCATATAATACTATTATTACTTATAAATTTAATTTTGACTTACATATGTGGAGTTATTATTTCTTTATGACATGCTACTTTCTGATTATTAGAATATTCAAATTATTGTAAGCCATATGGTTCAATTGGATGCATTGTGTATTCTGTTACTTAGCCATGTGGCAATCCAAGTGTTAATTTTAAAATACAGTCAAATTTGAATTTTTTGCTCGATCCAATTGATTTCTGCATTATAATAATATTAAAAAAAACATAGACATTGTGAATTTTTTCAAATTATTGTATTAAATAATGTACTTAAGACAATTTTTCTGAGAAAAACAAAAGTTGATGTCCTTTCTCTTTTACTTTTGTGATTAAATTTTCATCCAATGCCTGTGGTCCCTGTAAGGAGGCATCTATGCATCCCTATGACAGGAGAGTCAATTTCATTTCGGGCTTTCTCCAGAATTTTCAACTTACTTGATCAGGATATTTGTATGTAAATAATTAAAATTGAAATGAAATACTAAGTGAGAAAATAATAGCGGAAAATGCTGTGTTAAATATCTTCTTTTTTTTTTTTTGCAGTATTTCTACATTACTTTTACTTTATTATAATTTTATTCTCTTTAATCATGATTTATGTACATATAAAGCTTAACAGTTTGTTGACTGTTGGTGTACACATACAGTAAAAAAAAATTGTTTGAATAATTATATAAATAGTTTAAATGTTTTCTTTTTATGCGAAATAGTTTCACGATTTTTTATTAGTTTTTTTCATGCTTTGAGTTGTTAGTTATCATCAGACTTTTTGGATATTTCATTTTTTTTCTTCTCTTGTCTCTTTGACTTTGACTCTTCCAAGTTTGACAGTATATTATATTTTCATTTGCATTGCTAATATAAAGCTAAGTAACAACTTAAAAAAGCACAAATCGTAAGGTTATATTTAAAAAGTCGTTATGATCCTTTTTATAACCAGCTTGCCCAAATACTTCTTTTCGTGGCATATCGTCAATAGCATTGATAAAACTATATGCATTTAGCCCTTTCATTTCATATCTCAGAGGTGTTTTTTTAGCTTTATATCCTTCAAAAAAATGGACTTTTTTTTGTTTACTCTGTACCAGTATGTTAACTGTATTCCTTTTTTCAGGGGTAGTTTAGTGAAAATATCTAAGATTATTAATTAGAAAAATCAATCTATTCTTTATTAATTTTACACTAGTCTACCAAAAAAATTGTTGGTTGTGTTACATTTTATAACGTGTTTGTTTTACTTTTAATGTATTAAATTCAGATATTTGTATAGTTTCTATATATAAGCCCGAATTTAAATATAATTAGACCGTGTCAAAAGGCCAATATTAATGTTATAAAAAATTAGCTAAATATTCTATATGTAGTCTAAAAATCAGTACTTTAAGCATAAGAAATTATTCTGGAAACGTATAAGGTTAACAATGACTTTTCTAAATTCATAATGTCTATGTTATACTTAACTTATAATGCGAGATTAGCAAATTTATTGGCTTCAAATTTTTAATCATATCTCAAGGAGTTTTGAGTTATAGCTACATAAATCTGCTTGAATAAGTTAAAAGATATGTGCAATATAGGTTCAGAATAAATAATTTCGTTCTTGAGATTAATAATTTGTCAACTTATTCCTAAATTTATATTTTCTAAGTCCTACTAAACTTATGTTATGAGATCAACAAATTTATCAATTTCAACTTTTAAATCTTTATATCTTAAGGAGTTACATTTGAAGGATAGTTTGCTCACTGAGTCTTATGATGAAGGCTATATTGCTAATTTTAACATACTGCTATGTATAAACATACTGCTAATTTTATTATGTAAGTAAAGGATAAAATATGCATTATAAATTCAGGATAAAGTATTGTAACCTTTAAATTGATAATTTATCAATTTGACTTTTTAAGTTTAGTTGTTATGTTTCTAAAAATATTAATTTCTAACTATTTTTATGCACATGACTTGCAATTCCCATACTAAATTTTATCAAGTTCATTGTTAATTTGATTTATGCAAAATTACTATTAGATTCTTTACAGTATTATTCCATTAAAAACTTGAACAAATTGCCTAACATAAATTGTATTTGAAGCAAAAACAAATAATATTCGAATCACTGAAATTGTCCTTCCACTGAATAAAGTTATTAATGTTCCCCATTTTAGAATAAATCTTCACTATTTCTTCCCTTTTTTTAAGAAAAAAAAATCTCTTTAAAAAAAGACTATTTTTCTATTTTTTGTTAGAAAAATATGGGATCCTTCAAATATTAAGTAAGCATGATTTGGAGAGTTTTAGCCTCCCCTCTCCCCTTGTCAGCAAAAATAAGCAAATCACAAACCTCCCAGGCTTACTTTGTCCTTTCACTGAATAATATTAATGTCCCCCATTTTAGTATTAATCTTTACTATTTCTTCCCTTTTTTCAAAAAAAAGCATCTTTAAAAAATTTTATTTTTCTATTATTTTGTTAGAAAAATATGGGGTCCTACAAATATTAGCAAATCACAAGCCTCCCCCCATGCTTATGTATATTGCTTCAAGTTTGACTTTAACAATAGTAATCTAATTTTAGATTTAAATTCAAATAAGCGATGTAACTTTCTATGAAACAAAATTTATTTACAATTTATTTCTAAAATTTTGAGCATAGTATATACTATTCATCTTTTGTAGTTATAATTCAGGAGCTCTGAAAAAAAATTTCAACATTTTCTTCCCTCAGACTTAACTTTTATTTAAAATTTTATTCTAGTGTATCGTATTTCCAAATTTTTTTGCAAAATAAATTTAAAAATAATGTACTTTAAATGCTTTACGTAAGCATTTATACTACCCTTCCCTCTCCTCTGCAAAACTAGTGGAATTCTTAACCCTCAACCCCTATTCGGTGCTTATGTACTATTAAAATCGACCCTACGTGTATATAAAAGCAGGGGTTGGAAAAAAAAGCATTGTAAATATTTGCACATAAACTGTGTATAAACTTCACTTTTTTAACATATCATGCAGGAAATGTTTTCATTTGCTTTAAAATATATATTAAATTTTTTTTTCTTCTTAAGAATTTTTTGTTACACAATATCGTTTTAGAATTTTGGGAACAGCTTTTTCGAACCAGAGCGTAAATGTTATACGGGTACAAAACTGGAATATTTTCATTTTAATTGTTGAGGTAAATGATCAAGGATTCTAAGCCTTCTTGTTTGCGATATTGATATGGGTGATATTGTTTGTTTTAGTTAGATTTTAAATGTGCTTGTTTTGTTTGTTTTGAGATGGTTTTAAGAATTGTATTTAAAAGAGGACACTGTATATAGCTATTTTTGATGTTATTCAAAATTCAAAGAATCTATATATATATATATACACACACATTATATACATATATTGAATATTTAACCATTAAAAATGTGTATTTTATTAAGACAAGTTGATAATGAAGAGCTTTTCTAGTTTACGATTAGCTCTGTGCAGTGCAGACTTAGTCATGCATTCATTGATTGTTAGTTCTCAAAGAATTTGTTCGTGTAAAAAATCATGAATAAAACCCTGTGAAAAAAGTTTGCTGTTTTCTCATTTCAATGTTTATTTATTATATTAAAAAGAGTATTGGCTCACATTTTTTTTAAAAAATAAATAAAACTAGTTATTTTTCTGTCAATTAAGATCTTTCTCAAAATTAAAATAAGTGTTTAAGGAAACAGAAGACGTTCAGAATAAGAAAGATACGTCAAATGTCTAATGTTTTTAAAATATTTAAAAAATTCACATATTGTTTATTTATATACCGTTTTCAAGTGTGAGACCTGGACAATGATGTGTATATGAAAATATGATAGCTAGATTTGAGAGAAAAATACTGTGAAGCATTTTTGGTGGAATAAGTAAAAACGGTACCCTGTTTAGAAGATCAAACACGGAACTTTACAAAGCATATAAAGAACCTGATGTCATTAAATTTATCAAAATTCAAAGGATTAAATGGGCAGGCCACATTGTGAGAATGGAGGATAGCAGGATAACCAAAAAAGTTTTCAGTGCCAGGCCAACAGGTACAAGAAAAAGAGAATGACCAAACCTAAGATTTTTAGACTGCCTTGAAAAGGACCTACAAGTTTTGAAGATAATAAACTGGAGAAGCTTGGCTAAGGGAAGAATGTCTTGGCATAGGCTTGTTGAGAAGGCCAGGGCCCATCCTGGGCTGTCGTGCCAATGAGAAGAAGAAACCATTTTCAAATCAGAGCTTTTTGTCGAAGATTCTGAATTTGTATATATTTGTTTGATAATATTTTGTTCTCGTTGACAAAATTGCCTTGTTTTTTCAATGTTCTTGCTGATTTAAAAATTCCCTGCTCACATGTCTTTGCTCATTAGTTAGGAGACTTTTTCTTGGTGTGTCTTGTTCAGTTTTAAGATTATTCATTTGCTTGGCTCACTGCTTTAATTTAATTTCTAAATTTGTATACAAATATAATTAATTAATATGTTTAAAAAAAATATTGACAGCAAAATAGAAATTCTATCCCTGAGTTAGTTATAAATTTTTACGGATTCTTAACCACTCAAATTTATTAAAATGAGTATCAACAACTTATTATGGTAAAAATGTAAGAAAATTATTTTTTTCCTTGGCAACTTTTTAACTATTAAAACAAAACTTGGTTGATTGATAATATCAATATTCTGTTTAAATTTCAAACTATCGAGTAAAAATTGCACTTTTCGGTTTTGAATGTCCGCTGTTCCCAATAATGCATTTCTCAGACATGCTCCATAGGATCTAGATCTGGAGATTAAGCTGGCCATTCCATCTGTTTGTGCTCTGCTTATTTTTATGGATGACAACTAGGACTACGCTATATATCGCGACATATCGATTTAACGCCTGTATCGGCAGGCTGATACAGCGACTTTCGTTCCAGGCGATGCATCAGAAATCTGATTTAAGCCGTCGAGTAAAGAAGACGAACGATATAGCGATACAAGACACGCAAGGATCTCCTATGTTGCGCTGGGGAAGACGATGTACGTATCGTTATATTGAAACGGCCTTGATTGATGAGCGGTAGAATCAGAATCAGTTGTGAGAACATATATCGTGATCTCCCATGTTCGTTTCCGCACCTCTTAGTTTTTTTTTCTTTCTACTTTGTCGCGACTTGATATCGTTTCTTGTAGATTATTTTCAGTGGGACTGACTTTCTGATTGCCGTTGTTACCTTGTTCTGAACGTAATCTATTATTGAAAAGAATATATAAAGAAGTGTTTCTTAATTAATTAGGTAAATTTTTTTTTGAAACAAAATTTTCTTTTTTATTCTTAAATGTGAAAATTAATTTTGATATTATATGTTTAAGTATTATTTTACATTATTGAATTTCTTACAAACGGAAATCTAATTTAAGGTGCCCATAAAGAATTAAATTAAAAAGTAATTAAATTTCTTAGGCTATTTTTTACTTTATTTTAATTAAAAACTTTTTGGATAAAATAATAATTTAATTCATTTTTATTACTGATTTTAATTTTAAATTTATAAATCTTTAGTTATTTTCATTTTTATAAATAAAATTATAACAAAATCTTATTTTTCCTCTTTTGGATTTGGACATAAGTCAATCAACTTTGTTTATTCAAAAAAATTAGTAATGTTTGCGATTGCGACTTCTTTTTTAAAAATCATTTAGCACTTCGTTTTATTAAAGAGTATAATCGTGTTTTTTAATTTTCTTTAAATATTGTCAGTTGAATATATATTATCGAATATCATAATTCTTTTGTTTTTATTTTTAAGAAATTAAACCTTACTTTGTTTTTTCGTTCAGAATTCGGTAATTATTCAATTTAACTTTATTATTTATGTGAAATAATAATGATAAAAAATAGTGTTGTTTTAAAAGTGTTTTTTTTTGTTTAATTTATTTAGCACTTTGTTTTAAGCATACAAATAATTTTTAACGAACTTATTTTTTAAATTTTCTTTCTATATTGTTAGGTAAATATATTGATAAATTTCAATTTTATTAATTTTTTTATTATTTATTTTTAAGCTAAGAAATCTTTCGTTATTTGCGTGATCATTTTTAGAAAATATAACAATATCTTTCTTAAGCAAAATATATGCATCAAATTCATAAATTGATTTAAATCAATCTGAGTATGAAGTTTTGATAGAAATCTGACTTTCTGCGCCTTACAAGTAGATGAATTTCAAAAATACTATATCGCGATACAATGCTATATCGCTATGCAAAACTGACGATGCATCATGATATAAAATTTCTTACATCGCCCAGTCCTAATGACAACGTACATCTACTCAGGACTTAAGCTGATTAAGATATCACTTGAAGCCATGACATTCGGAAAATGGAGTTCCCTGCCAGATCTCCATACCTGAATTTATACTGGCAGCCATTGCAGCTCACCACCCTTGTCCACAAACCTCTCTACTCTACGAAATGCTTTGATGGAGTAGTGCGATTCATTCTTTTCAAATCTTGGACCATGTCCAAGAGGTCGTGGGTTCGATCCTCGCCGGCCCAAGACTCTCTGTGTAGTAAATGGTGACTGATGCGCGTTAAATCTGCCGAGTCACGAAGTCCTCCATGTTCCCATAACAAATCGTATATCTGAGGGTACTGATGCAAAAGTTTCCTTGTCTTCTGGATTAGTTCAAAATTACAAATCTACGATTGTTGTTGTTCATTTAGGTCTCACTAGAGCTGCACAATGGGCTATTGGCGACGGTCTGGAAAACATACCGGAGGATGATCCGAAGACTCGCCATCACAATTTTGATCCTCTGCAGAGGGGATGGCAGTCCCGCTTCGGTAGCCCGACGACCTGTATGCGAAGTCGAGCAATTTACGGTAGAGCAGTTTAACGAGACCAATACCGCACGCCCTCGGTCCCTACGCATGCTGATTCAAGTGGGAGTTGAACATTAGTAGTCGTAAACCCAAAAATTGGTTTGGCTGTTCAACGACGGTTATAATATAAAAATCTTAGATTTAAGCAGCGGTGGCCCAGAGGATAGAGCTCTCGCCTCACAAAGAGGTGACCCGGGATCGAATCCCGGCGATGGCTTGTCAAAACGAATTCCACATCTGACTCGTACCTACCACAGTTCGGGCGTCAACTATCCTCAGTGGTGGACGGATCATGGGTTAGAGTCCTCTTGCCATCAGGCTAACTGTGGGAGTTTTTTGAGGTTTTCCTCTTCATGTAACGCAAATACGGATTAGTTCCGTCAAAAAGTCTTCCACGAAGGCAAATTTCTCTCGATACTTGATCCATGAGTTCTACATTTAGTTCAAAATTACAAGACTACGGAATTGAACATAAGTAATCGTAAATCCAGAATTTGGTCGACTATTCAACGACGGTTATAAATTAAACATTTTAAATCGGCTTAAAACATTTGTCTATCTCGTACGCAACATTAAAACTCTCCTAAAGTTTTATCTTTTAACATAATTTTTTGAACTTTCCTGCTGCTAGGCATATTAATTCGTGATCTTTAGCTCGTATCGTTACCTTTTTATTGTTATCGAGTTAGTCCTACTTGGTGTATTTTCAAAAATAAATTTTGTTTAAATTAATGTGATTGTACCTCAAGGTATCTGACTGTATTTTACACAATTTTTTCCTTGCCTTAAGGCTAACCGTGGGAGTTTTTCGAGGTTATCCTGTCTATTTAACGCAAATACGGATTAGTTCCATCAAAAAGTCCTCCACGAAGGCAAATTTCTCTCGATACTTGATCTATGAGTTCCCTAGTCTTCTGGGTTTAGATCAAAATTACAAGACTACGGAATTGAACATAGGTAATCGTAAACTCAGAATTTGGTTGACTATTCAACGACGGTTATAAATTAAACCGTTTATTATAAATTTCTCTCGATACTTGATCCATGAGTTCTTTTGTCTTCAAGGTTTAGTTCAAAATTACAAGGCTACGGAATTGAACATTGTTTGAATTAATGTGCTTGTACCTCAAGGTATCTGACTAGATTTTACACATTTTATTTTTTTGCTTTGTTTTGTTGAGGAGAGATTTAATTAAAATTTTTGTTTTTTATTTTTGGCAAGCAGGGGTGCTAAAATTATAAATTTAAAGTAAAGCTTAAAACGTAAAATATTTATCAAAATAAGGGCGAAAAAAAAAAACTTCAAATTTATCATGTCACGCTGGTAGCTCTAAAACAAATTGTAATGCATACATTTCAAAAAAAATTTTTTTTCAAGATCAATAATATCAATACCTGTGTTTTGAACCGAAACCCTAAGAGATTTCATTAAGTCAATAAAATAGAACTAAATATATTGTTTAAAATTGAAATTTTAAAGAGAAATTCTAAGCTCGATAAAAATAAAAAATTTACACGATAAAATTAGATCTTAGCTTTTAGTTTAAAACATCGCTAACATTATACAAAATCAACATATAAAATTTAAAAGAATTCGATAGTAAACCTTTTTTTTAATGTGCTTAAAAAAAATTTGATCAAATTTTACGTTTTCCAGAAAATGCATTTAAAATGTAAAAAAAATCTGAAATGTAAGAAAATTCTGACGACAAAAAAATTAATTATTCAAAATTTATTTCCGAAAATGAATTTTATTTTTTATAACATAAAAAAAAAGTTAAAATACTCAAAGCATAACAAAAATAATTTTAAAGTCGTTTTCGGAAGTTCACTTTCGATTTAGTCTTTCAGCATATGAAAAAACAACTCCATTTATGAAATTCAAAAATTTATAAAAAGGCTGCGAAAAACTAGTGAACTGAAATTCAAATAAATAAATAGTGAACTAAAACTCAAATAAAATTCAAAAATTTTTGTTTGAAATTCCCGATTTTTACCCAATTGAATACCTAAACTTTTGGGCAATAGAATATTTGGATGATTATATAACTAAATTTTATTATATAAGAATCGTAAACTGAATAAGTACGTCCTTATTTAATAAGAGATTTTAATACTGAAAATATTTCTCCAATTTTTATCCTGAAAGCGTAGAGAAGTAACAAACGCTTCTACACTGATGTGGCATCTACATTTCAGAAAATTCTAAAAAGCTTATGTTTGAACACCTGAACTTATTTATTTCTTTTAATACATTTTATATGTAACCGAATTCTCTTTAAACATTCTTGTTTATAAAAATATGTGTTGATAAATTTTGGTTGGTAGTTTCGAGTTCAAAATAAGTTTCAAGTTGAGTTCAAAATTTTTAATAAATTTTAATTAAACAATATCGAAGTTTCTATGAAGAGTTATAAGATGTAATTGGTAAGTGTCTTTTTTTTTAATTACAAACTTAATACGAATAAATTTAAATTAAATAAAATTTTATTTTTATTAAGAAGTAACGCATTTATGGATGGTGTTTTTAGTAGAAATGTAAACAATAACAATCTCGAGCTCAGCACCTACTCTAGTTCCGGTTAAAAAGTTTGCAGCTGCTTACTACATGCTATTCTGATAGGCGATGTTTTCAAACGGATAATTTTGTTTTCAATAAAAGAAATAAATTAGATAATTTCTGAGCTCAAATCTGCCGTATTTCATAAGATATTAATGTTATTATGTAATTCTGGGGAGTTAGGAGTGAAAATTTGTTTTAGTTATTTTGTGACATGGTTGCTAGATTTTGAATAACTCGCTTTTTTGGCAGTCTTGATTTGGCCTTTTTCCTTAAGTTTATTACTGTTTGTTAGGTTTTAAATTTCACTATTAAAATTCCTCTTAATTTTCTCACTTTTTAAATTTAATGTCTTCGTCCACAAATTTAAATTTTATCGTAGATTAAACCAATAAAATTCTTTTAAAAGCAATAATTAATTTTGCTACCATACCATTTTGATATTCGTACTGTTAATAAAACACTCACTATGTGAATTTACTAAGAATAAAAATAACTTAGCGATGGGTGGTGTTTTCAATATAAATGTAAACAATAATAATCTCGAGCTCAATACCTGCTTTAGTTCCGGTTAGAAAGTTTGCAACTGCTTACAGCTTATTCTGCGAGGGGATATTTTCAAACGGATAATTTTGTTTCTAATAAAAGAAATAAATTCGATAATTTCTGAGCTCAAATCTGCCGTATATCATGAGATATTAATGTTATTAAGTAATTTTGGTGAGTTGGAAGTGAAATTTTGTTTTAGTTATTTATAGATATATTGTTAAAAGGGTGACACGTTTGATAGATTTTGAATGACTCGCTTTTTTGGCAGTCTTGATTTGGCCTCTTTCCATTTGTTAATTACTGTTTGTTCTTATTGCAAGCTATGCACCATCTTACGTTAGTGTTAACACGTTTAGCATTGTAAACACAAGTATTGTTAGCATTGTAAAAACATGTAATAGGTAATCAAATACCACGTTTGCAAGAATCTCAAAACACAATGATCACGTCGAGAGCCAAATAGCTTTAAAATGCACCGGAAACAGTAAACCGGAAATATTGGTGGTATGGAGCTTGCAGCGTTCCCTAGTGCATAAAACACCATCCATACGTAATCACTGCTCTATTTTAATAACTCCAAGAAAACATCTAGATAGCTGTTGTTGTAATTCATTTACGTCGCACTAGGGCTGCACAATGCGCTATTGGCGACGGTCTGGGAAGCACCCTTGAGGACGATCCGAAGACATGCCATCACAATTTTGATCCTCTGCAGAGGGGATGGCATCCCCGCTTCGGTAGCCCAACGACCTGCACGCGAAGTCGAGCACTTTACGGTAGTGCAGTTTAACGAGTTAGTTTTTGCAGCTAGATAGCACAGTTTAACTAGATAGGTTTTTATTAGAAATGTGATTACTCTAATTGTGACAAGAAAATAAGTAAAGGTGTAATGTAATCTGTACGACTTCCTATTTTTTTTAAAGTTAAATTTTAATCTTAAAATTATTTCTTTATATTTCAATACATATAAATGCCCTCCTTAGAAATGAAATTCTTAAAAGCCTATTTCGTAATGCTTGCCTTTAATGAATATTTTTCCAATTCTTGTCAAAAAGACTGCAAAATAATATTAAATCGTGTAAAAACGCTTTTTTTTTAATTCTCAAAAATCACTATCAATGAAGACAGAGAAGAAAATTGTATTATAGTTTAAGTTGATTCAAATTACCTATTGTCAACCCCTCTATCTTCACTTCAGCAGTCAAACAGGTCTTGATGTTTTTAGTCCAACGTTCATTAAAAGTTTTGGTGTGCCTCGGCGATCATCGAGTCTCCTCCAAACAAACTGAAGTGAGTTAAACCCTGCCGGGTATAGTTACGTAGATATAAGGAAAGACTGATCCAAAGTGGTTCCCCACCCGCACACTGACCGCAGCCAGTGATGCTTTCTGCTGGGAACCGTTTCTTAACAATCAGTCCACTGCTGGCTTTTTGTTATGAAAGTAAAAAATTCAAAAAAATTTTGTTGATGTGTTTTGTAAACCCAGCTTCCATATCACATGGATGCCATGGAACTGACAAACAGAATCCAACGGGAGTGCGCTCTTATTTGTAAAACTGATGTCCCTATAGATGTTCATCATTCTCAATGGTTGCCACACAACTCTATAGATAAGTCTGAGCTAACGTCACTTCACTTACCTGTCCATTGGAGCACCATTAATGTTAATCAGCTATGGCTGTTACCAGTGACGGTTTCTATCGAGATAGGAATACAAATAGTCCAACCTACATTGCCTACCTATAATGCAAGCGAAAATTGATTGAACGATAGTGGAACACTGATCTAGTTCAGCCTCTGACTTGGACATCTTTATAGTAAAATCGATATTTAATTTAATAATTGTTCCTGGGTATCAATAATTGTTTGAACTTTTTTTTGTAATTGTGAAGTTTAATTTGTAAATTATAAAAATAATAGTATTTTTTAAGAAATGCAAAAATAGTGTTTTTTTAGTAATTGTTAAAACAAAATTTTTTTTCCAGGTATGTTGGTGATTGAACCTGAAATCTTATAGAAACAAATATAGTTGCTACCCACAAAAATACTATCTTCAATTGAAGAATGGAGGAAATTCATACCCAAAAAGAAATCATTTTCATATGGAGTGTAAAGAATTTCACCTTTTGCTCTCAAGAAAGTTGCCAGTATCTACCTAGTCCTATTTTATTTACTAAGAATTTTTTCAACATAAGTTGGCGATTATTTCTATACCCCAAAGGATCAGCTGATAGCAAATCGGATCACGTTGCATGCGATTTATCCCTATCTTGGCCAGACATAGCATCTGATTGTTTACCTATAAGAGTTGAACTTGGCATCGTTGACGCAAATGGCTTGAATAAAAAATGTTTCGCTACCGAAACTAACCAAATTTGGCGAGAGAGTATGTTTCGACATTCAAATTTTATTAGCAGAAAAGAACTTTTCCACGAACGTGATAATTATTTACCTAATAACACTCTGACAATTTATTGTCATGCCTGGAGACATGCTAACTCAGCTTCTCTTGTTCGGAGATATATCGCTCGAACAATAATTGAAATTGATCGATGCTTTTTTCGATTTGATTTACGTAATTTTATTCTGTGGAAAACAGACCACACTTTGCATATACCTGTACCATTACAATCAAAATTCGAAATCGTAATCAAGTTGAAGAAGATGGCAGATAAAAATGAGTATATCACAATTGAGATTAATCAGTTACAATCGGAAAAAAATTCTCGTTTTTTAGATTGCACTTTATCTATACGGAGCAAAGATGGAATTGCACGAGAAGTCTGTACGTTCGAACATTTGTTTAAATCAAATGCAAGGTCGTCATTTACTCAATTTATCTCAAAAGCTAAAGTCATTAGAGATAAACAATTCCTCCTCGCAGATGAAACTTTGACCTTACAGTGTGAATTTGCAATTTCTTCTGGGCAGCCATTAAATCTTCCTATATATGTTTGTGAAGTATCACGAAAAGTTACTGTGAATCCAATACTTATCGATACTCTAAAAGACGATCTGAAGCGTATGTTGACAGAAAAGAAATTTCCAGATGTGGTGTTAAAAGCTGGTGGTGAGTCGTTCGATGCCCATAAGGCCATGCTGTCTGTAAGATCTCCTGTCTTTCAAGCAATGTTTGAACAAGATATGATTGAAAATCTAAACGGAACTGTTGATATATCTGACTTAGATGCGAATACGTTACATAATTTATTGCTTTATATGTATTCAGGCACTTTAGAAGACTTTGACGTCAAAAATATCTCTAAATTACTTGTTGCAGCTGACAAATATCAAGTTCTTGGGTTGCGAGAGAAGTGTGTTTTGACTTTGAAGTCAAACTTATCAGTCCAAACTGTTTGTCAAGTCCTTGCATTGGCAGAATTTCAAGAAGACAGAGACTTGAAAATGGCCGCTCTGGATTTTATTTTTACAAACAGACGTGAAGTTCTTCAGTCCACTGAATGGATTTGTTTTATTGAAAATAACCGAAAACTGTCTTCGGAAGTCTTGCAGAAATTATCAGTGCAGATTTGAATGATTTTTGTAGCAATATTATAAAAAATGATTAAATTTATTGTAAAGCAATTTCAACTGACAATTTATTGTGAAACTTATCTTTGTATTGATTTATACCAAAATGTCATTTCTTAATAAATGTACCAGAAGCTGTAAAAACATCGCATTTATAATATCACATTTGCACCAACCAGCAAATTGCACTTTCACGCCAAATCCAAATAAGCATTTCTCCCGAATCTCTAACACAAGTACCCCCCCAAATAAGTGCTTAAAGTTCCCATTTACGAGAAGCCAGACATCAGACAATTTCTTCGCGTATTAATTGGCTCACGTGCTGATTTTTCACTTATCCTGGTTCTCAACTTCAGGAAGAGTGTAAGTTTTCTGAAAGCTGTTTTCACTAGTCAGTTTCGAGACCTCCAAACCGTTGATCTCAACTTTAACATCTAGAGCAGGCCTGTAATGACCTACAAAGTCATCTCCTCATCTGTCAGAGACTTTTGGCTTAGGTAACTAAAAGATTATTACAGAGTTTAATTAGCATTTTCATTAAATTTTTTTTAATAATGTCGTCAACATGATTTACTTTAGAGACAAAGCACGACACACATCGTCTACATTTTCATTTGTCATTTTCTACTCACTGAGCGTGCCTCAAGTCTCTATCGGGGAATGAACCCCAGTCAGTGACAATGACAGCTCAGTGCTTTGGACACTGCGCCATCTCCTGGTGTAATTTTATAAATAGGTTTCCTGGTGCAATTTTATAAAGTTAAGTTCGAATTTTTGTCTTGTAACGTTAAACATGGGGCAATATTTTCATATACAAACTCATAGGCCGATCTTATTGAATTCACGACTTCACGGAATTACATTGAACCTGCTACCTTCGGCAGCATGTTTCTTTAAATACTTGGTTCAGCCTCAAAGACTTGCTACTTTGCTCCTCTCAATCTCAATAGATTGTTCTTCTACAGTTGATTGCAAAAATAACATTACAAAATGAGTATGTAAATTTGAGAATAATTATAAAGTTACTCGATTCATGGCTCTTCGTTATTACACTCGTATTTGTACTGTAGGCGAAAGTGTAAAGTTCATGCCTTACCTTAAAGGTGTACTTGGTTCCGGAGGTGTAAAGATCGTGCCTTGACTTACTCGTTAGTTCTCAATCCCAATGTTTAAATCGTGCAACATTTGTTTAAAAGCAAGTACAGTGAGCAAAATAAAAAACGGACCCCTGCAGAATAATTTTTGATCTAATGATCGAATTTTTACGTTCTAGGACTCAATCTTAAAGGTTTGGCGGGTTGACCTTAATTATGCTAATTAATTAATACTAACGATATTTTAGGTTGTGAAAGCAAACGTACTTCACAGACATACCTTACCATCCTTACCATAAACATACCTTTTCTTAGACGGATTCCGATTTCTGACCCACAAAATATAGGGAATAGCCGCAATCAGGAAAATATGGTCCCCAAAGTTTGGTTAGGAGAGGGTCCAAAGTTTGGACCTCGTTGTTAATTTAATTTTTTGCATATTTTTCAATATCTCGAGAACTTTTTAAGCGAATTAAAATTTTTTTGTAGACCACTATAAGATTCGTTTATCCAAAGATAATTCCATGCAAAATACAACTTTCAGTAAATATTTATTATTAATATATAATTCAGTAAATAATTATTATTAAATATGCGGTGTTCATAAAATTCAATATCTCGGGAACTATTCGGCCAATTTTGCTCAAACTTTATATTTTTGCCATATAAAATTACATCCTTTAAAATGATGTCAAAAATTATATACCTTAAAATTCAAAATTTTTCGACTATTATTGAATAAAATACTAAGAATTAATAAATATTTACTAAAAGTTATATTTTGCTTGGAATTACCTTTGCATAAACGAATTCTATAGTTGTGCGCAAAAAATTTTCAATTTGCTTAGAAAAATCTCGGGATATGGCGAAATACTTTAAATATAAAATGGACATTGAGGGGCCCAAACTTAGGACTGCTCTCTTGACTAAACCATGGTACCCCCAAAAAAATTATGGTACTTCAAAAAAACAAAAAAAAAACAATAAGGATTTATTAGTATTTGAAAGTCAAGACCAATATAATATTTAAAAATATCTGAAAAAAATAGTGTTTTTGTTTCCATACTTAGGGGATTTTAATTTTAAAACTTTCCAGACCAGGAGAATAATAAGCTTTAACATATAACATTTTACACATGCTTTTTGAACGTTGTCGAGTGAAGTAGGAACAATATACACATTAAAGGTCACATATTAATATCTAAGAGGGGAAAAGACTAAAACTTTACCAGAAAATAAAATGCAACACAATTATAGAAGGTCAGAATAAAGACATGAAAATATGTTCAATTGCCAAAGGAAACTGAGAGGAGGTAAATGCAGATTGCTAGATACACTTTCCGACTTCTTTTGACAATTGAACTAGTTTTTGCCTATTTAATTTCGCTTTCCTCAATTCGATCAATCAGATTTCAATAATGTATTGATTTTTTCTATTCTCGTATGTGAATTTGCGAATCTTAAGAGGCATACTTATTTTTCAGACAGTTTAAGTCAATTATTCTAAATATACATATTAAAGATGGTAATTTTGATTTTATTTTTTGTTCAGAAACATTTTTCCACTTTTGCCCAGAAACAGGAATCCTCCTTTTCGAATAAAACAGGAGGATTTCCATCACCACTTCTTTTTCTTTTTTTTTGACTTAAAAACATCGTAAGGTTGACTTATGGCTATCCACCATAAACCGTTCAAATACAAGCGAAAATTTAGATTTTAGAGTAAATCTTATACTATAATACGAGGAATGGTTGCCAAGTCGAAAATCACCCCAGAATTAATAAACTCCGGTAAACTTGGGGGTCTGGGGTTTTTGGCCACGAGGAATCGATTGGCGCCGGTTTTGAATCGCTACGGTCGAGCAGTTCGGAGTTACAGATAGGATATTTTCAAACTTTATTAGTTCGCCATAATGGCTATAGATACTTTTCTCCACTCTTATAAATGTATGCTAATGCGAACCTTACAATTNTTATATTTTAGAGTAAATAATAATAATATAAGCTTACGAAAACATTATTGGTACGTATGATTGATGTAAACTTAATGCTTTTTTGCTTTCTTTTTGCTGAAATTGATCGATTATCAGTTTTTCTTTTTATCCTGATTTTATAACCGTTGTTAAACATCTGACCCAATTTTGAGTTTACGATTACCAATATTCAATTCCGTAGCCTTGTATTTTGAACTCAATAATGAAGACAAGGGAACTCCTAGGTAAGTTTTGGAGGAAATTGACCTCATGGCGGACTTTACGATGGAACTAACCCGTATTTGTGTTACAGTGAGAGAAAAACCGCGGAAACCTTCCATGGTCAGCTTGACGGCAAGAGGACTCTAACCCATGATTCGCCTACCACTGAGGATATTTCACGTCATCACGGTGGTTTGTGCGAGCCGAGTGTGGAATTCGCATCGACCAGCCGTCCTCGGGATTCGAACTCAGGTCAGGCAAGCGCTCTACCCTCTAAACCACCGTGGCACTTGCTATTTCTAATAATATTTAAGTAGCAGCGATGACTCAATGGTTAAGGCACTGAATAGTCAATGTAAAGAAGTGGAGTTCGATGCCCGGTTGTGACTTGAAGCAGCTTGGCTTGGATCAGCGGGAAGCAAGTTTGTCTTGGGAAATAAGGCAGCATTCATACCGTATACGATTGCCCCAGACGGGGGTGTGAGTGTGTAGAAAGCACATGTATGACAGACTACTCGCGCATTCGGGAATCACATTGGCGTGCGATTACTTATGTGAATCGCCTTAAGGCGGTGGTGCAGAATTATTGCTACCATTATGTCGGTGATCTTGGCATAGAAAGGTGATATACAATAATTAATGGATGCTGGCCTATCTCTTAATTATGAAATAATGGAGTCTTGATCTCTGCTACCTCCTTTGCTCATAATGGGCTGCTGTGGGAATATTTTCCTTAGAAGTCATTTTTGATAAATATTGTGATAACATTATGTGCATGCCTTTTTTTAAAAATATAATACTCTTTGATATATCCCGTTGCCCCTTTATATCATATGATATTTGGCCTACTGCTACTATATGGCTAGTAACGTTCACAGGAACGCAAAACGCGTATATAAAATTATGCTGTTGTTGCTTATCCTCTTCTGGCCTGACAAAGTTAGACCAGATCTATGAACCCGTTGACCTCTGAAGAAAATCAGACACCAAAAGAGGAGTAGAGTAAATGTCTTCCCAGAGAAGACCAAGACAGTTCAGGATGTGATCGGCGGAAGCCCGGTGTAGATGGCATTTAGGGCAGAGGGGGTAGGTTTTAGTTCCCTCAGAAAATAGTAAACCTTTAAGATGGCCGGTAGCTAGGCGGGAGATGGTGGTGCAGACTCTCCTTTCAAAGTGAAGGGTCAAAGAAGTTCCAAGCTTATTTCCCTTGTACCAATGGTGGGTGGGGGGAATCAACCAGTCTCTGAGAAGCAGGGATTTCTTCAGGGAGTAAAGGTGAGATCAAATGAGGTAGATAGGTAAGATCAGAAGAGGTAGGGTGCGGTTGGCTTCAACCCTCTTTAGCTAGGCTGTCCGCTAAATCATTACCATAGATACCGACGTGAGAAGGAACCCACTGCAGGTGAATATTATGTTGGAGGGACAAGAGTTTTAGGCTGTTTACGATGGAAATACTGGTTTTGTCGCCAATTTGGGTCCGGTTGCTGAGATGTTGCAGATATAAAATTATGCATAATGCAGTTGACATGACCCGAATCATGTTGGATTTCTGAATGGATTCATAACTATGTCCAAACAAATATTGGTGCTATTTTTTTGACCATCATGTAATTAGGTCGCCTTATTTTAAAAATATAACTATTTAAAATAATAGAAATAAAAAGAGCAATGAAAAGTGATCCACTGACGCAAGTGTGTTGATTTTAACTAATTTTTTATAACGTGTGAGTGTAAATATAGCTTATTTCTCCCTCTGTCTGCTATTTTTTAACGTTGCCATTATCTTATATAAAACTTTTGTGACTTATGTTTGTTGTTTCTAGTTTCTGTGTAAATTTTGGCGAGGCCGTGATAAATTCATTTATTTACAATCTTTCTTTTTATATTATTTCATCTGTTAAAGATTTAGCATGATGGAATTGTAATGTCAACTTATTTTATCAGATTAACTAGTTGCATCCGCTTAATTTTGCGATTCTTCATTTTTAAATTCACTATTTGCGACTCGCTAACTGCATGGAATTGAATGATTCAAAGGAAGCTTTCAATTAACTGAATTGAATCTTGGTCTAATTTGAACATGACAGAGGAACTCCAGTTATAGCACAGTGCTTTATCTTTTTAAGCAGGAGTGATAATTATTTATTAATTATTTTAATTATGGCTAGATCATTAGTACCTAGTTATCAAAAGTTGGCTGAAAAGTTGACTATTTTAAATGATAGGGGTATTGGTATGCTTACAAGAATCTACAATATTAAGAAAGTATGTATTATTATTTTTAACAAACGTTTTTTAACCTTGCATATACTTCAAAATTTCTATAAATAAATAAATTCCCCTTTGATCGCACATAAATCTCGTTTTTATGACTTAAAAACAAATATGATTGATGTTAGTGCGAAATTGCTTTTTATTCATTAGTTAATTGGACTTCGAACTAATTGGTTTATTTTTGTATTATTGTTTGTCAAATAAAGTGATTTGTGGTTAATAATACAATTTTAAAGTTAAAAGATTTGTCTTATATTGGTATATTGGGTATATCAATCTATAATTGGGTTATCAATATGTAAGATATATTGGGTATATCAATCGTCAATGACATATTTGCTAATTTAGTTAATTGCACTATATAATATTTCAATCTCAACTTAATGGTTATTGTTTAAGAGTTTCCTATATTTGAATAACAATTTTTTTCTATATTAAAAAAAAAATTAATATACAACTTTACCTTATAATTTTTAAAAGCAAGATTTCAATCTAATATTTAAACTGTTATGCTATGTTCTTGGGTTTAACTAATAAAAAGATTTTGTTATGAAAAAAAATTTTGTACAAAATTTCTTTGTAATTTGTTACATATTTATGATATTTTCATTGTCAAAGTTTAAATAACAATGTAGGCAAATAAGTGTTGATAATTTTCTATAACCTTGTTCTCACTATATTTAATTTTTCCTAAATGTAATTATAAATATCACCATATAATATTAAAAATCCATTTGTATCATTATTTTACATGTTTTTTTTTGCTCAATAATCTCAGAAGTAAATTTTTTTAATTGTGTTGCTAAAAAGTTGATTAAGTATTTTAATTCACCGACATATTTCTTGAAGCTTTACTATTTTAATATATAATATTTTCAAATAAGAACAATTATATTTTTGATTGCTTATCTATTTAATTTTATATTAATGTTTATATTTTTTAATATTTGTTTCCAGGCTTGTGGAGATGCTAAAAGTAAGCCAAACTTTTTATCCGAAAAGAGTTTAGATTCAGCAATAAAGCATATAGTAAGGCGTTTTCCGAACATCGATACTCGAGGAAACAGCGTAAGATTTCTTTTTATTATATTTCATCTTAATTTATGTTGCAATTTTTTTACATATGTCTGTTTTATGATCTGATGTGTTATTAAACATCAGGGTGCCCACAGAAGTGGAAAAAATCAGAAAATTTTATTAATCTGAAAAAAATTAGGAAATTTGTTTAATATACCCAAGAATTCAAGAAAAAACTAATAGCAAACATAAATGTTTGGTATTATATTTTATACATGAGATTAAAATTTAACTGAGAAATCAATAATAAAATTTATTTCACTAGTAAAAAAAATTTAGGGAAATTAAAATTAGATAAAATCACTTTGGAATAGTTAAGATTTTTTTTCTTCTGATTATTCGTGACTATCTTGATCATACAATAAGATATAGAGATAAATAAATATGAAGCTTTTAGTTACACAGTTTACTAACTCCTGAAAAAAAGTTGCTCTTATGTATAGTTAAACCAATACTAGTCAAATCTCAATCAGTCAAAATCTGAGCCATATATACTGTATTATATTTTATACATAAGATTAAAATTTAACTGAGAAATCAATAATAAAATTTATTTCACTAGTAAAAAAATTTAGGGAAATTAAAATTAGATAAAATCACTTTGGAATAGTTAAGATTTCTTTTCTTCTGATTATTCGTGACTATCTTGATCATACAATAAGATATAGAGATAAATAAATATGAAGCTTTCAGTTACACAGTTTACTAACTCCTGAAAAAAAGTTGCTCTTATGTATAGTTAAACCAATACTAGTCAAATCTCAATCAGTCAAAATCTGAGCCATATATACTGTATTATATTTTATACATAAGATTAAAATTTAACTGAGAAATCAATAATAAAATTTATTTCACTAGTAAAAAAATTTAGGGAAATTAAAATTAGATAAAATCACTTTGGAATAGTTAAGATTTCTTTTCTTCTGATTATTCGTGACTATCTTGATCATACAATAAGATATAGAGATAAATAAATATGAAGCTTTCAGTTACACAGTTTACTAACTCCTGAAAAAAAGTTGCTCTTATGTATAGTTAAACCAATACTAGTCAAATCTCAATCAGTCAAAATCTGAGCCATATATACTGTATTATATTTTATACATAAGATTAAAATTTAACTGAGAAATCAATAATAAAATTTATTTCACTAGTAAAAAAATTTAGGGAAATTAAAATTAGATAAAATCACTTTGGAATAGTTAAGATTTCTTTTCTTCTGATTATTCGTGACTATCTTGATCATACAATAAGATATAGAGATAAATAAATATGAAGCTTTCAGTTANAATATGTGAATACTTATGAAATAAAATAGTTATTGCAGTACACATATTTATACTTATTGCAAAGTAATAATTTATTGTAAAATAATGTGGGTAAATAATTATGAAAGAAAAACAATGTCGGAATAATTGTTATGGTTTCTCTCCGTTTTAAAAAATCATAAGGGTCGCTGCTGGTTAGGGTGTTCAACTTAACATTACATTTTGCTTTTCTGTGTAAAAACGAAACAATTACGAACTTGAAATTATGAAGGTGTATAGAAAAATGTGCACAAAGTAGAGCAGAATAAAAATGTTAATTCAGTAATTAGTTCAAGAATTACTAACTATTAGACTAGTGGGGAAAATTCCATTCCCGCCTAAAGAATAGAATTGCAAAGTTAAAATTTAGTATACTGAAAAGGCTATATTTGTTTATGAACTTAATACAGTTCTTCCGAAATTCCTATTCTTTCGAAAGTTATTGCAATTTTTAGTGCTTTCTTTGCAAATTTCCCTCTCTCTCTTTTTTTTTTTTGGTTTTACGTTGCATTATGCATTGCTGCACAAAATCTATAACATTTGGAATTTTTAAATTATGAAGCTATTTAGAGAAAAAAGTCCAGGAAGTATGACCGAATAAAAAATAAAAAAATTAACGTTTGACAGTTAGCTTGAGAATTATTAACTGCTAAACTTGCTGGAAAAAAATGTCATTGTTCTTTACGATCTGTAGCCTGTTAAAATGCCTGTTGCCATGACAAAAATTTGACATGCTGAAAGAAACATTTTTATTTGTGAACTTATCAAGAATTTTGTTTCAAATTTCCAATTTGCTCCAAGTTGTTGCATATTTAATTGTTTTTTCATGATTTTTTTATAGTTTTTTTCCTATAATTATTGACTATTTTTCCATTGTTTTAGAAAAGTTATTTTTTGCCTCATAAGATCTTGATTTCTTTTCTATGAGCTGGTGCTCGAGTAGAGGCCAATTAAAAAAAAGGGAGGGGGGGGAGGGAGGATTACATGTTGCCATGTATGAATATTAGCATTTATACTAAAATTTTCAAAAATAAAAAGAAACTTCATGAAGAGTGATAAAGACCGCCCCCCTGTTTGAATTATTATGTGTCTTGTAAACTAGTAAAATTACTACTAATTTATTTTGATTATTGCATCATACCATCTGTTCCTTAGGTTAAATTTTTTTTCAAATTGCTGATGATTATTTTTCAAACCTAAGTAATCATCTTTTTATTAGGATTAACATCCTAACAAAATGTTGTTACATAAAGCTATCATAATGGTATATTTTGAAAGCGAAATATTCCATGTTTTTTTGGAAAATATTGATGTGTAAGATAAGAAATAAAGACGAATGAGAACCAGGTATGGGGGTTAGTAAGCAGGGCATCCCTAGTTTTTGAAATAGTGTTATTCATTTATGAAAGGTATTAAAAAAACAAAACTTTTAACATAATGGAAAAATTTTATGTGACAAATTATGACATTACTTAATTGCTCTATGGGGCATGTATAGTCTGTCTAAGCTAAGAACGCCTCCCGCCACAAAGTCTGAGGCCGTCTGGTGCTATGGATACAAGAATGGCTCATTTTTTCTCATTTTGCTTCACTCTAGGACTAACACACGTCCGAAGAAGGAGATTCCCCTTCGTTCGCCGGCTTGAAATCACTCCAAAACAGTGACCCCTCACCCCTACTTGAAATAGTCATTCCTCATTACCATAGTCACCGCCACAAGTCCAGACAAACGTCTGGAGGAGTTCTTATTTTAGACGAACTATAATTTTAGCCTCTTAATCTAAAGACTCTAAATACCTTTGCAGAAAATGATATTAAAATCAATTCTTTTAATTTTATCTCAACTGATTCACTTCACAGGGAAAAAGAGCCTTTTATCGGAATAAAAAAAAAGATCACTCTGTTCATTTAAATTTTATTTTATAATATATGGTATTTATGGATAACTTTATGTAAAGTAATGAATTGCTAATTTTTCAGGACCATGTATGTGAACTTTTGACTACAATGGATGCCTGTCAGCTAACCTTAGATATTGTAAGTTAATGTTTGTTCACAAACTATCAGTGTTTTTACTTTATAAAAAAGTTATACTGACATAAATTTGAAATTTATTTCAGACAACTAGCTTTGATTTAACCAAATCTTATCTGGACCTTATTGTGACATACATGTCGCTAATGATATTATTATCCCGTGTGGAAGATAGGAAAGCTGTTTTAGGGCTGTTCAACTCTGCCCATGAGATGACTCATGGTCACAGGTATGTTTTAAAAATTATACGTCATGTTGCAATCTATGAATCACTGTGTATGTCACGTTATTACTAGATATACTAGAAGTATTTGAAATCGATATTTGCTTTCGGTACATTTGCCTTTAGAAAATAAAAATGTTACAAAAATAAAATTTCACATCTTAATAAAGTTGACTATGTATGTATTCAACTTAATGATGAAACACATTATTTGATAGAAGATTTCTAGATATACTAGAAGTACTCGAAATTGATATTTGCTTTTGGTACATTTGCCTTTAGAAAATAAAAATGTTACAAAAATAAAATATCACATCTTAATAAAGTTGACTATGTATGTATTCAACTTAATGATGAAACACATTATTTGACAGAAGATTTCTAAAATGTCACTTCAACATTATAAACAATAATCAATCCTTAATGTTAATTACTTTGTTAATTTATTTGTAGCGTAAATATTTTTGAATATCAAAAAAGTATTTTATATATTGTATTGTGTGTAAAGTCTTACAGTAAAGAAATATGATAAACTTTTTGTTCTTGGAGGGTTGGCTAATCCTTTGAAAAAATTTCTTAAAATTATAAAAAAAAATAATAATGAATTCAACTTTTTGGATAAAATTGGATGTTTCTTAAAATTATAATTAAAAAAATAATAATAAATTCAACTTTTTGGATAAAATTTTATGTTTGTAAGATGTGATGCCAAGGAAGAGAATTGCTAGTTTCTATGATCCACCTTTATTAGTTGTAGTCTTTTTAAAACATAAATTTTTTGTTAATTTTTTAATTAAAACATATATTTTTTTCTGTTTATGGTAAATATCTGCAGTGGTTAAAAGATATTTTTATAATGTTTTACTATTTTAGGAAATAATGTCACAAGTGATATTAAGGTCTATAGATTTGTATTTTTTTACTTTAAGGGATATTAAAAATATTTGTTTTAACTTTATTAAAAGTACAAGCCAAAAATCTTTTGATTCCAAATTTTTAGATTTTTCCAAACTTTTGAGCATTATTTTTTTAGTGTTGTACTTCTTTTTTAAAAAAGAAAATGTTTCCATCCAAATGCTTTTGGAGATTTTTTAATTTTTTTTATCTAGAAACCTATTAGTTTTAAGTAAATTTTAAAACTCTATATATCTAATGTACAAAAAAGCATTAAAATCTTCATTTAGATATTAAAGAAAATACTAATTTATATTGTGATTTATTATAACATTTTGAATAAATATGTTTAAAGCGATGTTTTTTATGTTCTTATTCATTAAATTTCACTAAAAAAACTTTTTTTTGTATTATATTTTGAAAATCTTATCTTTTGAAATAATTTCCTTATGTTTTGTAACTTAAATTTTCATTTTTGTTTCAGCGATACAAGCTTTCCGAGGCTTGGTCAACTTATAATTGACTATGACCAACCACTTAAAAGATTATCTGATGAATTTATTCCTCATTCCAAAGTAAGTGTTATTTTCCTTATTTATTTATTTTCAGATTTTTTTTCCCCTCAAATTAATTGGATTTTTGTTTAAAAAAATCTCTTGCTTTTAAAGTTGTATTACAGTTTTCTTTCCAATTTTTTTTATTCGATCTCTTATTAAAATTAATTTAAACATTTGATTTATTCGGAAACTTTTGATTTCTTCCTATCACATTAAAAAAGTTTAATCTATTTACATAACTCCAAATTTTTTTTTAAAATAGCATGTCTAAAATAAGTTTTTGTTTCATTTTTTATATTTTTATTGAATAAACAATTTTAAATGTTTTTAATTTCTAATGTATTTTTAGTTGTTATTCCAAGCATTGATGTCACTTCAGCATGTTTATCATAGAAGAAATTTATCTGTAGAAGATTGGCGAAAAAGTCAAATGTTAAGTCTAGTGGCAACTCCGTCTCAAATGTTAAATCCTGCACAAACAGAAACAGTTGAGTTCTTGCATGTTTTTTTTAGCTGTTATTGTTTTATTACTAGTAAATTGATTTATATTATAAAAAGAGAATATTTTTAAGGTAAATTTTTGATAGTTATCCAATTGTTTCAGTTATAAATTTTACTTTGATAACAGAATTAAGAAAACTAAAATAATTTGTTTTTTATTTAGATAAAGTTAGATGTATTCAAATTGTTGATGAAATGTTTTTTTATTTGCAACAGACAATCTAAAAAATTATAACATTGGCAAAGGATATAATTTAATTATTTATTCAAAGTAAATTTGGTAAAGAATATATTTAATAGCCGTTTTATTGTATTTTTTTTTTTAATTCTGTTTTTATTTTAAGAATTCAAAACATTGAAAGGTTTTGTTTTGTCTGGTGTATTTTATTTAGATAAAGTTCGATGAATACAAATTATCATCAAAATGTATGTTTTAAATGTTTTTTTACATGCAATAGACAAAGTTAAAAATTACAAGCATTAACAAAGGTCATAATTTAGTTATTAATTCCAAGTAGAGAGAAAATTTGTTAAACAATGTTTTTGAAATCTGCTTAACTGTTTTTTTCAATAGGAAATTTAAACCATTAAAAGGTATTGTTTTGTCTGGTGTATTTTATTTAGATAAAGTTAGATGAATACAAATTATCATTAAAATATGCATTTAAATGTTTTTTATTTGTTACAAACAGTGCTCTAAGAACTATAAGCATTGACAATGGATATAATATAGTTATTAATTGGTAACAATAAAAAGAAATTTATTACTTTAAAATTTCTTCTTAATATCCAAAAATTTTTGAAGGTTTTAAAACTTCAAATTATATGTATATATATATTAAAAAAAATTGCCTAGCTTTTTAAAAAAGTACTATACGTAAATTTCTCATTAAAATATAAATTATTATTTTTCTTTATGTTTAATATTTTGTTAATGAAATTAATTTTTAACTATGAAACATTTTCAGATGCCTTGTGAATATTTGTCTTTAGATTGTATGCAGAGATGGATTATATGTAAGAAATCTTCATTTTTGTAAAATTTTTCTTTCCCATATGATGATTCAAGGTAACTGATCCTCTTCTTTTTGCAGTTTCATTTGCTCTGATTCATCAATATCTTAGTCAGCCTCCTGCACAGGAATTATTTACTAGTGCTCTGAACGGAGGTTGGATCCACACTTTGTTTAGAGATGAAGTGCTTCATACACATCAATATATACAAACTTTTTTCGAATCTATTAAAGGGTTAGTATGCATTTTATGCTGTACAATTAGTTACACTGATTAATTGTACAATTAATTGTACTGATTAATGTACATTTTTTCACATTATTTTTCTTAATTAGGAGTTTTATGCCTAGCACAAGGATTAGTTTATTATTTTGATGTATACATATAAAAGATTTTTTTAAAAATTTTTTTAAAAAGCATTTTGTTGTTTTAATGTGAGCTATTATTTTGCATTGTTTTATTCTTTATTGTTTTATAATTAATCTATTTTCTAATCTATTCTCTTCATTAATCTATTTTATCTATTTTCTATTGTCTCAAAATGGAATTCACATTGCAGTGATTGAAAAAAAATAATTCTCAATCATAACTAATTTAAATAGAGAAAAATTCAACTTCAAATTTATCATGAATAGATTTAAGTAATTTGAATAAATCCTTGATTTCTTTCTCTTTTTTTTACTATCATGGCCAAAAATTCTAATTCTTCTTCTTAATATATTTGTTAAAACCTTTTCAAAGATATATTATCTAAATGAGTTGGCCTCATAAGTTGCTTATTTGTTGACTAACTTAGCTGAAAAGTTTCCAGATTTTATTTAAATTATTATATTCTCTTTCTTATGTTTAAAGCTCCCTTAGTCAAATTCTAATTTTTTTTATTTTGAATTATCAATTGAAAGATGTATTTTGTTATTGAAATGGTTTAAAAGAAGAAAAACTAGCTTAAAGCTTCTGAGGAGGGTTTTCTTTTTTAAATAATAGATTCATTTATCATGACTGACGAATTAATATTTGAGATAGCCTTAATATTTGCTTAGCACATTATTTGTTTCAAATTATAATGATTCAATGTTATTATTACAATTTATTTATATTTATAATGTAATTTTATAATAATATTTGATTATTTTATTTAATCTATTATCAAGTTTTTAAAAAAAATTAGCATATATGTTTTTGATTAACTGGCTATTAGAGACATAATACATTCGTAACAGCCGATTTTTAATTTTTTAAAGTTAATAAAAATTAGAGGAGTGTAAGAAGCACTAAAATTAATTTTAACAAAAATTTTTTAACTTCATATTTTTTTTTACATTAGTTATATAAAATCAGCAAAGATGAAATTAGTAATGATGAAATTGCTCTTTGGAAAAAATAAAGAAATATTCATCTTTTTTTAAATTTTTCTTTTAAACTTTTATAGTTGTATAACAATTTTAGCAATTACTCACTTTGTTTACATTTCCTATTAGCTATTAAAAAATTAGAAACTAATAGTAAATGCATTTTTCAGTTATATGTTTATCAAAGAATAGTAGTATTTTTTTCTGAAGATGCAGCTTCGTTTTGTTTTTATTTTCGTATTCATTTGAACAATAATTTTTATCATATTTAATTGTAAATTTAAAAGTTTAAAAGGTTTTTTAATATGATTTGTACATTTTACAGCTATAATAAGAGGGTTTCTGAGGTAAAAGAATGCTATAATTTTGCCACTCAAAATGCGTAAGTATAAAATAAGTTAATTATTGCTACATTTGTAATTTAAATAGTGGAAATTTCTATATTTTTTACTAGTCGTCATCAACTTATCATTTTTCAACTCCAAACTGACCCTGTTGCCTTTCTCTGCATTGCTCTGAGTACTCAGTTTTTCCTCACAGATTTTCTACTTTTTGGCTCCCTGTTGTTGTTATAATTAATCCCTTATAATAATTAATCTTTTATAATAATTAATCCCTTATAATAATTAACCCCTTATAATACTATTAAAAATAAAATTAATCTTATAATAATTAATCTATTAAAAAGTCTAAAATGTTTAAAGTTTGTTTTGAAATATTTTAAGGTTGCACAAATCAGGTGATAAAATAAGTAATATAATGAAGTGGGTAGGTTCAGGTGATTTGTTTAAAATAAATATTTTAAAGTTGATTGAAATTATTGTTTTTAATGTCATGATTTATTATGACAGTTAAAATGTAAGACTACAGTTTTTCTGGATAATTGGAGTTGCGAAGATATTAAGTGGTCTTTTGATTTTGACACTTCATGAAATTGTGTTCTGATTAAACTTTCTTTTTTTTTTAAAAAGAGTTTGGTAGTATAATGTTTTTAATTTTATATTAACAGAAACTTGTTTATGTTTCTAAAAGTTCATACCCTTTATGATTAAATTTCTTTATAGAAATAGTTATTACAAATCAGTTTGTTCTACTGGGAAGCATTTAGAAATTTCAGATAAATATTTATAGTATAAAGAAATTTGAAATATATATATGTAATACAAAAGTTATAAAAATACTTTTGTATTAATAAAAGCATTGAAACTTTTTCGTGTTCATAAAATGCAGATATTCTATTTTGGGACTTCAAGGCTAAAAACATGCCAATGAATAATAATTAGATTTATATTTCAAAAGAGAAGTCATTTTAAGATCTTTCACTTCCATATAAGGAAAGATTAAACGATTTTCTATGAGTAAGAAATAATTTTGATGAGGCGTAAGAATACAGAAAAGGCAATATGACTGGCCTCTTCACACTTTCTAATCATCCTATAAAAAGCAGGACCAAAGGTTTTTGCGTGGCTTTTGTTGTTTATAATGCCCAACTAAACTACGCCAGTTTAGACGGGATGTGGGTCTCACTCTCCAGCTTGGAGGGGGCTGAGATGTATGCTTTCACCATCGTTAGTAAATAAAAAAGAATGTGCAGAAAAGGACTTCATTTTTCCTGCAATGTTGACGATTATTACATGAAATATCGGGGCTTGGTCCCCAGTTATTTCATATATATATTAGGTTTATCAAGTAACTAGTTCAAAACTGGTTAGATAATAACATATATATATTTTTTTCAGTTGCCTTCTTCATAGAGAAAGAAGGAAATATTTACGCACGGCACTGAAAGAATTGGGTCTCATTTTGGCTGATCAACCTGGGCTTTTAGGTCCCAAGGTATTTATTTCGTGCTTATGTTATCATTATTTATTTTCTATTCATGTTATTTAAAAAGTTATTGTCCGAATGTTTCTTTTAATTCTCGGATAGCTTAACAATTTTTATTGTTTTAATATAAATTAAAGCATTATGAATATATTAAATTAAAATTTGTGTTTTTTTTCCAGATATTTTTATAAACCTTAATATTATTATTAACTTGTTAATGCTCTAGTCACATTTTTAATGATCTTTTGCATGTTAATAATGGGTGATGTGCAATAAACTACAAAAATATTTAAAAAAAAAAGTGGCTGTCTGAAACCTTTTATTTTATTTGAAAAAGTCAAAATGTTTGTAAAATTGCAATATCCTTTTGAATAAAGTTGTAAACATAAGGGTACTTAAAATTAGTTGTCATCAAGAAACTATGACGTCAGCTTAATGATGTATTTTTACAGTTGCCCCATAAATGGAATAGTTGGGCATCAAAGGATTGATTGCAATTAGATTGTAATTGCAATTGCAACTCTTTTGATAATTTTGCATATTATGAATAAACCAAAATTAAAGCAAAATTTAAAGGGTACTTAAAATTAATTGACATCAAGCAACTAATTAATATGAATTTATGATGCATTTTATCAGTTGTCCCAAAACTGGGACTGTGAGCACTAACTGATTAAGTTTTCATCCTTTATTTGCAATTCAAATTGCAATTCTTCCTAGAATTAATTATATGTATTATGAATTAACTAAAATGGAATATTATTTCTCTTGATAGATTATTTGCATAATGGATTATTAAACTTTGCTTGACACATATTTTTAAATTCATTTTATATATTATTTTTTAGGTCCTTTTTGTTTTTATGGGATTATCTTTTGCTCGAGATGAAGTTCACTGGTTATTGAGACATAGTGAAAATCTACCTCAAAGGCAAGGCAGAACTCGAATGCCAGCTGAAGATTTGGTTGACAGACAGCTACCTGAGTTATTGTTTCACATGGAAGAACTCAGAGGTAACCTATGTTTCAGATTAATAATTTTAAAAAATATAAAGTTCAGTATGTAACTAAAGTTTATTTGTCTGATGCAAACCCCGATTCCTCAAAATCTTTTCTGATTTTTCTGTGGTTAGCTAAAGAATATTTATTGTTGATTTTCCTCAGTGGTATATTGGTTTCTTTTCTTAAGAGTATTCACCGCCTTATTGTTTGTTTTCACATTTTTCTCTTATTATTATTATTATTTTTTTGCATCATGCTTAATCTTTAACATTCTTAGATTTTCTTACCTCGAGTACAGTTTTTCTTTAATCTTGAATATGGTGCAGTACGGTGTGTCTGGTTCTTAGTCTGTTTTATTTTATTTTTAATTCAATTCACAAATGTTTTTAATAGAATTATTTTGAAAGTTATCAAAGTTGATTAATATATGTCAGTTTAATTAGTGAAAGTCATAGTTTAATTAGTGTGACACTTTAATAGTGTTATAGTTTAATTAGTTTATTTGTTGGTAAAAGTTTTCATACAATTTCAGATTAAGCATATTTTATTTAGTTAAAACGCATTTTATATTGCCTGTATTAATTCTTCAAATTATTGCCTAAATGTTATGAATATGCTTTAAAAAATCTGTTCTTCAAAAGGTTATTTTAACAAAGAAATTTTATTATCCTTTTCTAAATTTCGTATTATGTCATTTTGTTAATAAATTTTTTTTATGTGACAATTTTTTAAAAAATTAATAAAACTATGATTTTGAATTAATAATGATAAGTTTCTACAATTGTTGAATAACTTACTGTTATTAAAAAAATTTACGTACTGTTAATAAAAAAAGTATATTCAATAGCATAACTTCAGTTTTCATTTTCATCAAAAAAAAATTTTAGATTTTTATTGAATATTTCTTTTAAAACTAAATTTTTTTTTTTTTAATTTCAGCACTTGTTCGCAAATATAGTCAAGTTATACAAAGGTATTATTTGCAATATCTTTCTGGCTATGATGCTGTAGCTCTAGACCATATGATTCAGGTAAGTGTACACTACAACTTCTCATTGTATGCATTATATTTCAATAATGTAAAAGTCCTGTGTAAAAACAATTTACTACAGCAAGAGGAATAGTCTTTGTAATGAGCTTGTCGTCATAGGCAAACACACTTATTTAATTTTAAAATAGCAATTTAAAAAACCATCAAAAAATTAAATGAAATACAATAGCTTTTGACTTCACTGATATCATTGAATGTTGAGAGTTGTCAAGAAAGAAAATAAATGGATAGGGTTGATTTTCTTTTGATAGGGCTGGTTTTCCAAATGCAGTAGAGAACGGATTATCCGGAACAATCGGGACCATTGCTATTCCGGATAATTGGTTTTTCCGGTTTTCTGAATTGCTACAAAAAGCCGTTTTTTTTATTGTTAACCCAAACTAAAAAGAAAAAAAAATACTTGGAAATAATCTTAAAAAGATGATAAACGATGAAGTAATACACTAATGATTATTTCCAAAAACGATGAAGTAATACACTAATGGTTTTTTCCAAAATGATGGTAAGGTAAACAACTTTCAAAAAGAAAGAAAATTCCTAAAATATTATGAGGAAAAATTTTTAAAAAAAATAAATGGCCGGAAAATTTATCGAATTTTGTTCTGGTTTTCTGATTTCCGGATAACCGGTTCTGTACTGTATAACAAAATTTTTCTTTTGGTAAGAGGAAAATAACTTAGCCAGTGATCGCTCATATATTTGCTTAATAAATTTAAAGGGTTAATATTGTTGGCAGGAAATATGAAATAAAGTGAAACAATGCTGCTTTTCATTTATCTATATTGATTCTAGACATCTTTCATTTCACCTTTTATTGTAGAGCATTCATCATATAAACGGCAGCATTCTATGAAAAATTATTAATGATGTAATTTTTTCCGGCCTTTTAAAGTACTAAAATAATATAAAGGTAAAATATATGCAGTAAGTGTTCGAATGCATTAATTTAAGCAAAAAAAATTTTTTTAGTATGCATACTAATTGTAGCAATTTGAAATAATTTTAGTAATTTGTATCTTGCACCGATTAATTTTTTCTATTCTATTAAGCATGAAATTTATATCTATCACAGTACAAAATTGTAACTATCGTCTTCTAATGTTTTTTTTTCCTTCTATGCTTAGAATATTACAGTAATTCCAGAAGAAGATTCAGTAATTTTGTCATCATTATGCAATACTATTTCATCACTGAATGTTAAACTTATTGAAGAAAATGAAAGAGAACTTTTTGACTTCCGAGGATTGAGACTGGATTGGTTTAGATTGCAGGTACTAACATTAAATTAATCAAAATCTTAAAACTACTGAACTTAAATTATATAAGAAAAAATAGCTGCACATAAATTAAGAACAAAATATAAATATTTCTCATAAATTGTTATTTTTCCTCAATATGTGTTTAATTCAACTAATATGTTTATTGTTTTTACATATTATATGAAATCTTTCTTTTATGAGAATTTATTTCAATTCATTAATTAACTTCTAACTTTTTCAGGCATATAGTAGTGTAGCAAAGTATCCTCTAAATTTACACGAACATCGTGAGCTAGCTTACTTGATGAATACTATTGTGTTTCATACCAAAGCTGTTGATTACCTGGATGAATTGATGATAGAGACATCTGATTTATCTTTATTTTGGTGAATATTTCAAGATGGTTCTTTTAAACACTTAATTTGATTTTTATATATGTTTCTTGAGTTTATAAATCTTCTAAAGCATTAAATTTTTATTAATTTTAACTGAGATATCAGTTTTTCGTGTTTCTTTTTAGAACTGTAATTTTAAATATTTTAACATAAATAATATTTTAATTAATAAGGAAAAATGCATAATTATTAAGAAAATTATTTTTTGATATATTTTGCTAAGATTTTACAAGCCACCTTTATGCATTGAAATATCTTACTAATATTTTTATTTAGTGAATGTATTAAAGTATTTTGCAATATAGTTTCGTATTTCAGTAATTATAGTATAACTAGGAGGCTCTGCCCCCTGCTGGCTAACGCTCGCCAACCCCCGAGGATTGCTACGCAATCCTATGTGGTTCACGCCGTGAACCATGGCTCGCTGCGCTCGCTCGCCAATGAACACAATGTTCTAGCACAAAGACATAATATATTATCATCAAAGACATAGTATTTTATCATCAAAGACATAGTATTGTACTTATGTAGAAGAATTCTACCAATGTTCTTATTGGCTTTTAAAAAAGTATATTAGCTATTTAGATTGTACATGGTGAAAAAATCAAAACATTAGCTAAATAAGAAACATATTAGCAAAATAAATTATCAAATATTGCTTCACTAATATTCTGCATTTTAAAGCGTGAAAATTCAATGCATAAATAAACGCGAAATATAAAAAAATTCAATGCATTCAATACAAACACTTAAACGTTTTTTAGACGTTTAGGTAGCTCCCAGTAGAAAAATATCAATTCAACAGCGGCCTTTTAAAGCATTCTCACTTCAATTAATTAATTAATTCCTAATTGAGTTTAAATTAAATATTGTCATGTTTTTAGTGCATGAATCTGAATTGAACAACCTGATAATGCTCACTCTGGTTATTGTTATCTGGTTGCTCACTACGTGCTCTTGCGCGCCGAATCCAATCAATTAAAAATGAAAACTGTTGCCAGCACGAGAAAAGAAATATCATCGGTTTTATTGATACATACGTACATATTAGCGATTTATATAATATAGATTAGATTGACCTAATCTTGGGGACATGTTATACTCCATCGAAAAAGAAAAGAAAAATGAGAAAATGATTTTTCTATTATACTTTACTAAAAATGTATATTTCTCCTTTGAATGTTGAAATGTGCTGAAAATATTTTCTGAAGAGTTTCCAATTAAAATATAAAAGTGCTTTATTTTTCATATTTTATTGCTTAGAAAGTGTGGGAGAATTGCTTTTCTAATTCTATTCTATTAATTTATTATGTGATTATAAGCCAATAAGTGGCGTCATTGTAGGTAAATTGTGGCATTTATCGATTCAGCAGCCATTCAGGTTAGACACACATGCTTGACATTTTCTATAGGTATCCAATTAAATCTGATTTATATTACATGGTTAGGCAAAATCACTTTACTTCTTCTTGTGTTCCAGGTTTAATTAATATGTGCATAAATCTTTTTGCATAAAAAGTAATAAAATTATAATTCTCTTATGCATTCTATTGATAGACAGTTAGTATTTTTTGAATCATAGTTTCATATTTAACTCTGCTAATATACTATGCAGTATTTTAATGATAACTTTATTGAAATTTTGGCTACATCTGAGTTTTTATTTACTTCTTTGAGTTATATCTCTGGCTTTTCCTAACCTTAAATCGGGTGGCATTTTTACATAAAACCCCAATTTCCTTTGTGTTATTCAACCAGGGTGTGTAGCGTTTTTTAAAGGTGCTTATTTTAGTTTTTTAAAATCCCTTAAAGGTGCTTTTTTTTATTGGGTGTTTTTAAAAAGTGCTTAATTTTCCCTTTTTCAAAACGAGATTTTTCCCTTATTATGTTGATTTTTGCTACGAATTATGCAAAAAGACACAATTCACATTGTTCTATTCAACGTTTTCACAATTAATTTAACCACAATCTATTCTGGCATTTGTCAGTCCCTAGCATCTGAAAACGCCATTCGTTTTACTTCATTCTATTTTTCAGGATTTTTGACAATTGTTTAAAAAAAAACAATGCCAAAAGGGTTTTTTTTTGTGGACATAACGGTTAAAATTGGGTAAAACCATCAATTGTCAAAAACTTTCCAACCTTGCCTAATTATGATATTTTTTAAAGTGCTTAAAAATGCTTTTTTTTTACTTGAAAACTGCTTAAAAAGTGCTTATTTTTTGTTGAATAGTTTGACTATGCACCCTGTCAATGCAGAATCTGAGGATTAAATAAATAGACTGTATATTGTTATATTTATTAATTCATAACGAGTTTTTATTTTTAAAACCAGTTTCATAATTGTTTAGATTGAACTGTTTAAACCAGTTTCATAATTATTTAGATTGTACTGTTTAAACCAGCTACACAGGGTGTTTTGTGATGACTAGCTTTTATATGAACTTTTAGAATCTTTGTGAAAAATGAAGACGAAAGAGTTTTAACATTGAGAATTGCATTTAATTTTTTTTTATCAAGAATTAAAAATACTTCAGAAATCTGCCAAATAACTATCTAGTTAAGCAAGTGTACTGTTCGATTGCTGACCTAAACTTGAAGGTGTTTCTAATAATTGTTTTTCAACTGTTTCCTTTGGCTTTCAAACGTATTTTGATGTTTTGTACAATTTCTTGCCATTCCTTAATAGTTATTCGTCATTTTATTGATTTATTATTACTATTAGCTTTTTCTTTGCCTAAATATTGAGTTTGTCCAGACCCCAAAGTGTATACTACAAGTTTTCATTTTTGACAAAAATTCTAAAAAAATAAGTAAATAAATAAGTAAAAAAGAATGTATTTGTAAAGGAAGGGAACTATTCACTTCATTTCCTTACACTATTTATTGAGTTTTAAAATTGATTCTTAAAGCTTGTAAAACTATTCTAATTAAAGTTTGTAATTTTACTCTTTTTTATAAAAAGAGTAAATGAGTAAATGAGTAAATGAGTAAGACTATGATTATTTTTTAAAGCTGAAAAAGTTTAAAATTTTATTAAAATTATATATTAGACTATATTTGCAAATAGTACTTGTGTCAAGTTATTTGCAACTAAGTATCAAATATGCCTACTCATTTATATATCTAAAAAATTATAGTGTGTTTGGAGACTGTATAATATTTTTAATTAATTAATCTTTTATTTAAAAGTTTTTATAGCACCTTATTTGAAAGTCAGTTTCATATGTGCTTGGAGTTCCCTGCCCAAACCAGATACATCATAGCCTTTCCTCTCCTTTGCTGTCACTTCATGAATTGCACTCATGAACTTTGTCCGGAAGAGGTGAGTTTCTTTAAAAATCTTACAAGCCTTATACAGTGGTCAGTCTCTGTATAATAAATGTGCAAAAATTTCTGTTTTCAGAGAATTCACATTGGAGACAGAAGTTTAACAATGATAAATGGCTTTCTTGATGAAATGTCCAAAGAAGCTAAAGATATTATCACCACATTATGTGATTCTCAGTGTGATCTTAGTGATAAGGTAAGTGTCAATAATAAATGAGTGCAGGGGTGGCCAACAGTGAGCACCTTGACCCTTTGATGCAGAATTTTAATTTAATATATTTTTCATACTTTTTTTAAAATTATTTTGTCGAGAAAAATAATTTATTTAGCATTTTAATAATTTATAGTTATGAAATAAAGCATGAAGCACCAGCATTTTTTTTCTTCTAGCATTTAAGGTAAAATCTTGCAAACATGACTCACTTCCAAACAATAATTTTTCAAATTTGCAGTTATTTAAATCTAAGAGAAACAGTTATTCACCATTAAAATTTCTTTAAATTTTCAAGATCAATTAATAATAAATTTTAGAAAATGAATGGAAAAAAAAATTTCATGCTAATTTTTTTTTGAATTTTGATATAAATATAATTTCGATAATCTAACAGTCTTTTTAGTAACTATTAGACTGTTTTTTATAATTGAAAAATGCCAAAGTATGTTTTTGCTTTAATTAGAGCGGAAAAAAATATGTGAAAGGGACCCACCTGCATCAAAGGGTTAAGTGTCACCTGCAGTGTAAAAAGTTTTGAACATTTCACTCCGTTTTAATCTTTGAATTCCTTCTATATAATTTGAAAAAAATAGCGTTTAACATTGTAAAAAGTTAAATGGAATAATAATAATATGAAGTCGGAAACTTTAAATAATTAAATCTTTTACATTTGAAAGCAAATGTACATTTTATAAGTAAATTATTTGTTGAATTTTGATGAAAATTAAATTACAATAAAATAAAGTGGGAACTTATAAATAATATAGGAACTTATTTATATTGTGCAAGAAAATTTCTTAGACAGAATCTAATTTTCTAAACTTGCTTTTTTAAATTGAAACAGTAATTTTGTAAGTACTGATAATTTCAAGTTCATTACAGAGTAGCAATAGGGAAATATCACATATTCCTATGCTGAAAAAAGGAATAAAAGTTTTTAAAAATATCAATTATTTTTTCATTTGGGAATGAGTTGCACTCTTTTGCTGTTTTTTTTTTTTATTGAAATGAAAAAAGAAAAATAACTAATTTAAGTCATTTTTTCTTCTTCAGTTTATAAAGACAAATTATATTTTAAAATTTAATTTTCATAGATTAAAACTCCAAATTTTGGGAACATATAATTTGTTACATTTTTCTTATTTTCAATCGTTTTACTAGGAAACATTTATGTTTATTAGGCAAAAAAAGGGATTTCACTTCCTTCACATTAGCCTGTAAAGAATTTTATGAACATAATTTCCTTACTTTTTTAATATTTTTGAATATTTTTTGTTTCATTTTATTCACTGAAATTTGTTTTACTGCACGCACTTACTAAATTTTAAAGTTTAAATATTTTTAAAACTTTTTAAAAACTATTATTACAACTTCAAAACTTTTTAAAAATGCTTACAACCTTAAAATTGGGTAAAAAAAAACAAAACAATAGTAATTTTTTCTCTTATGTGCTAGCTTTTTAAATTTAAGCAAACCCTTTCACCTAATCTTCAAAAATAAACTTGTAGCACTTTTCATACACAAGTACATATGCAATATATTTAAATGTCCTTTTTATGGCTTTGTATTACTGTAATAGATTATGTGATTAAATTTGTAGTTTGGATAGTTATTTGTTTTTAAGGCAATAAATAATTAGGAAATGTTTTGTATAAAAATTATTTGTGTTCTACAACATTTTGTTCCAAGAATAATTTTTTCAGATTAAAGAAAATTCAGATCTAAAAAGTTATATGCCTCTTTTCCTCGCCATTTAAGGATCAAACAAGTTTTGTCTTCAATGTCATTAAATTATTTTTTTATTAACCAAAAGAAAAAAGGATTTTGTATAATTTTAATTGCACTCTTTATTATAGGCTGAAATGCTTACAAATATTTTAGTTTCAATCATTTTAATTTCAATGCAAATATTTTAGTTTCAATCATTTTTCTAGAAATGATTTTTTAGGAGCATTTTCCTGTTTACATTTTCATGTTTTTAAAATGTTATTTTCAGCTCTTACCTAAGCATTGTGCACAGTTGATTGCACAAGTAGTAAATAAACGCAGGGACAAAAAGAACAAGATTGTGGCTGAGCCTTTCAAGCCGGGAATGGAGTCTTATAGGAAAACAAGAGAGGATCTTACAACGTAAGGCTTTGATGCAGGCTTGTTAATTTATTTAGGCATTTTTGATAATATATATTTTCAATGCATGATTTTTAGAAATACTCAGTTAATCCATACTGGTCAGTAGAAGGAAAAAAAATGTGCTGACTAACTGAAACAAAAAAAAAGAAAAAAAACATAGTAATGTAGAATCAAGCATTTCGATGTATTATATATTGCTATAAAGCAATTTTTAATGCTGTAATATTGTTAGAAGGGTATTTTTATGGTTTATGTTTAATAGTATTTCAATTATAATTATATTTATGAAATATAGCTAATTATAAACCTAAGTTTTTAAAGCAATATTTAAAATATAGAAAAAATTTGTTTTAAATAAAATAAATTAGATTTTTTTATTTAAAAGAAAATCAAGAAATTGTTGTATTGGTAGTAACATTGTCATACACAACTTTAATACAAGTTTGCTTGAACAGCGTCTTATTTATATGTTTTATTGTATTAAAATACCTCTTAATTTTTAATTGATGTTTAAAAACATTTTACAAATGCAGAAATTGAATTAGCCGGAAAAATGTGAAGTAAAAACAAAATTACAGGATATTCATTTAAAATTTTGTGAGACAGAATCTGACATAAACAAAATATTAATTCTAATTTTGTGTGGTTAATATATATTGTGAAACAAAATCTCACAATATCTGAATCTTCTTATTGGCTAAATATTGATAGTCTTTTAATTTTTTTTGTTGATACAATTAAAACGTTGTCTAAAACAAGACAACAGATAATTTTTATTTCATTTATAATAAATGTATTTTTGTTTAATGTATAGTTATTATAGATAGTTAACCTCATCTCCTACAAAATGTAATATTTTCTATAACTTGACACAAGGAAATATCAATCCTAATCTTGTGTGGTTAATGTATTTTTAGGAACAAAATCTCACTTGGCCAGAACTTTTAAAAGGCAAAATACTAAAAATTCTTAAAAATTTGACTTTTTGTTACTCACTCGCTCAAAATTTTGTTTTAGAACTCCAAAGCAGGTAATTTTTATTTTTTATGAAATGAATGAATTTTTGTAGAATGTATAGTTATGATAGTTAACCTTCATCTCATACAAGCTGTAATACTTGTATTAATTTGTTTTGAATTTCAGGATGGATAAGTTACATATGGCTCTTAGTGAATTGAGTTTTGCTATTAATTATACTAGTACTATAAATGTATGGGATCATGCATTTGCTCCAAGAGAATACTTAACGCAGCATTTAGAAAATCGATTTAATAAGTATGCAAATTTCCTCCTATCTGTGAGTATGACACTCATTATAAAAGATATTTATTTTATTTTATTTTAATGCAGGTCATTAGTTAAAATGGTTATGTATAATCCTCAAACCAATGAAATTGCTAAGCCTTCTGAGTTACTAACAACAGTACGATCATTCATGGGTGTTCTTCAAACAATAGAAAATTATGGTAAGAAAATAATTTATTTATTAACTAAAGTAGTTTTATGTTATTATCCTAAAATGAAAGTGATTATATTAGAGGAACATATAATTTGTTAGAAAAGTGAAGCACTTTTGTCAAACATGAAGCAAAAGCCACTTTTGCGATGAGAAATACAGTCAGACCTCGATAAAAGGTCACCCTAAGGGACATCGCAAAAGTGACCTTATAAGCGGGGTGACCTTTTAACCAATTCATTAGCAGTTCGTAACTAAGTACGGAAATAGTACACATTGGTATTTTTTAAAAATGGTAAGACAAACGAAAACGATCGGCCGTAAATTAAATATTTAAGTCAATAAATTTTAACAGAATTAGTAGAAAATTAAAGAAAGTTCGATTTTAAAATTTGTTTTATTTAAAATAAAGCTGTTTACAAATTTCCTCAAAGTGTACATACATACATTACACCTTTCCTTATTCAGAATAATCACTTATGCAGGTCTGTCTCGTTTTTTGTTTCATTTTTAGAACAATGTTTTCTAGATTTTGTAACTTCTCAAAATGTTCCTCAGCTCCCTCATGGTTTGTAAAAAAAATTCGTATGGCATTTATTGCATTGAAGGCTTTCCGTTGGGTTACAGCTACAGACTCAGGATCACTGTCAACAATTTGTGAAACAATTTCAGAAATCGTAGCGTCAGAAGTAGTGGCAATTTCCTTCAATCAAACCATATTCAGCTTCCTCTTCATTGACATGGCCACGATTTTTCAACTCTTCCATCAGAACAGATAGAGGAATATTGTCTTCTTCTTCGGTTTCGTCATCCACAGTATTCAGAGAACTCACAAAACCAGCATGACGAAAACAATTTGCTATGCATGTGGTGGACACCATGCTACGCCTCAGATAAAAATGACCTTATTAGCGATAACGAGTTTTAAATCTTGACCATATATCCGATAATCTGTAACAAAAAATTCCTATTCAGTGAGCCGGGACTTTGGAAAAGTGACCTTATATGCGGGGTGACCTTATATGCGGATGACCTTATATCGAGGTCTGACTGTATATGTTAATTTATGAAACTATGGTGAAGATAGGAAATTTATAATTCCTGTTAAGTTTTGTAAACATATTCTTTAGTTACACATTAATTTGCTATATAAAAGAACTAAGAGGAATTTTTTTTTCACTTGCATATTGGGTTAGGAGAGAAGATCTCCTTCATTTACTTAGAACATTTTATTTAGGGAAGTAAATCTGCAAAGAATAAGTGCTCACTCGAGTGCTACTATCTAGAAACATGAACCAATTTTTATTTGGTATTTTCTTACACAAGCCAGTAATAAATCAATTTAATAATATGTAGGATTTCTTTCATATTTTAATAATTGCTTTACAGTCTTATTCATTTTTATGTATTATTCATTGTTTCAATTATATGAACGTTCAATAAGACGAACTATTGCATTCTTTCATTTTTGTTTTCAAAGAGCTTTGTGCATTTTTTGAAATTAATGATTGATGCCAAATTTTGAAATAATGTAAAAAAAGTGTCTTTGTAAAATAATAATAATAATAGGTTGTACATATTTTTTGAATTAAGAAAATATTTCTTTTCGCTCAACTACCCCTTTAGCTTTGAAAATATATCATGCTTTCAATCTTGATCCTATTATAAATATTTTTATTATTTATATATATTATGGTAGATATAACCATCTTTTTTTTCAAAATAAAGGTTAATAATAAAAAACTTGAATTAACCTTTTTTTACTTTTCGGGGAAAAAAAAGAAAAGAACAGTCCTTTTAAAAGGATACTAGGGATGATTGAGTTAAAATTATCCACAAAATATTATCTGCTATATTTATCATTTTTTTGTCCTGTTTATTATATTTTCCATTTTATATTTTATGAAAAATTAATATTTTAACTGATTTACGGAACACGATTTTAAATTATGGAAGAATTATAGAATTTTTTAAATTAATATTTTTTTAAATTAGTATTTTCTTTTAAATTAATAATATGCATCAACAATATATATTTTTCTTTATTTCCATTAAATTTTTGTATTAATTATGAATTTTTTTAAAATCACTTACTTAGAGCTGATATAATTATTTTTTTTCCAGTTCATTTAGATATCACTAGAGTTTTCAATAATGTTCTTTTGCAACAAACACAACCTCAGGATAGCCATGGAGACAAAACTGTCACTAGTCTTTATACTAATTGGTAAATATGTATAGAATTTATTTTCTTGTGTATTGTATTATTGTATGCATTCATTAAATGTATTATTGTATGCATTTATTGTATGCATTCATTATATCATTTCATTATATGCATTAACATTTGCATATGCTCGTGTATGTATTTTATTAAATAGGTTGAAGGTTTTCAATTGCCAGGATATTTTCTTTTGGCACCAAGCCATAAGCACAGATCTGCCTAATGCCTAGATAAAAGATACATAAAGCAAATGATATGAATAAATTTTTTTTAATTATTTAGGGCACATCTCCTCAGTTTTTTTAAAAATATTTAAATTAAGATTTTTTTAAAAAATTAAAAATATCCTGAATTTTTTAATTTGAATTTTTTTTCTTAATAATTTGGATACTAACATTTAAGAAGTTTTAGGCATAAAAAAACTATGTCTATCAAAAAGCTTATACTAATTTATAGAAAGAGACTTTTCAATATTTATTGCAATTTTTTTACGTAGTATATTCCTTTTTTGTTATGTTGTATATAAATTCATTATTGCTTATGGTTGGAAATATTATAAATGTTATAAAATGTAAGTATAAACTTAGGAAAAAAATTAACATAACATCATAAAAACGTAAGTGAATAAACTTTATTGTCATAACTACATTACAAAGGAATAAACTGGTGTTCTTGAAATTGAAGATTTTATTTGATGTCTGCATATTAAGAAGCTAAAAATTATCTTTAAAGTCAACTGCAAAACTAAATTATTAATTATAAAGAATTATGTGATATCTGCGGATATAATCAACGTATTTTCTGAAACTTCTAATCAAGTTAAAGAAAGAATAAGTAAATTTTTAATTAATACATACATGCAATGAATAATTTTAATTTTGTGTAACTGGAGTATAATTTAAATTTTGTACAGCGGCAATATTTAAGAAAAAAAATTGTTTTGAGGAACAATTATCTATTTTTATGCAAGTGTTTTATTGTTTGTTTTAAGATGGGGATAACACAGAAACTGTTCAATGACTGAAAGTTGCACACCCTTTATTTGAGAGGTATCATGAATTTCTGTGGGCGTTATTTTTATACAGATTATTTTTATGAAGATAAAGAAAGAACTTATTTTTATAAAGACACCATAAAACTGAAATCTTTATAATGCTGTAAAAGGATTATGTGTATACCACCACCAATGGTCATTGATTCGGGTCAGTTTGTTTAGAAACGACATATCTACGGAATCATTGTGTCTATAGAATAGATAAGGATTTTTTTGCATTAGTTATTCTAATAAAAGGTTTGTTACGTAAGGAGGGGGATGTTAAGAATGTTGACTCTAACAATTAACAGAAATATTCAATTATTTACTATTTTACTAGGTTCAATTATTTACTATTGTTCGTAAATTTTTGCATTACCCAAATCGTTCTTAATGCATGAAAATGTTCGTTTTAGTTAATTATTGTATGAGTTTAAAACTTTGTTCACTATTGAAATATGCTGTTTTCAAAAAATAAATTGTGCAACAAATTAATTAATAGGTACTTGCAAGCATTGCTAAGACGTGTGAGTGCTGGTAACATAGCTTTTTCCAGAAATCAAAGGGCATTTGTTACTTTATCATCAGAAGGACAACTACCTTTCAGCGCTGATGAGTACTCAGATATTAATGGTAATATTTAATTTTAAGAGTTTTTTTATTGCTGTATTAATAATATGCAAGACATTTTTTTAATAGTTTCTCATCTCATTACAAATTAAAGTTTATGAAAACTGTCTTATGAATTTGACATTATTTTGAGAAAGTTTACATTATTATTGTATTTAATGTAATCAATTTTATGTATGTCAAAATAAGCCAACATTAGCTATGCCAGTTTTAGCATGAAACTTATATTTCTTTTACTGTAAATTTCTTATTTCTACTTTTTTAATTAGTTAAGTTTCTGTCAGTAATAGGAAAATGCTATTTTTTTTAAAAGTTTTTACTTATTTTTAGGATTGATAAGGATTTTACTTACTTTTAGGATTTTTTTTTAGTTTTAAATAAGAGAAAGAATTAAATTTTACTAATTAAAAACTCTATCTTCTGTAATAACTTAATTAGCCTGTCCTTAAAACTTGAATTTTGTTTCTAATATGATTATTGTATTGTTTTAGAACTTCGAGCCCTAGCTGAGCTCATTGGTCCATATGGGTTGAAATACTTAAATGAATCACTAATGTGGCATATTGCCAGCCAAATTACTGAATTAAAAGTGAGTATTGAATTCCATTTATTATTTGCTTAAAGAAATAAATAACTTTAGTGATAAAATATTCTATGATGAATTATTTATTTACCAATATTTTTTTCTAGAAACTTGTAATTATAAACAAAGATATATTAATGGCACTTAGAAGTAATTTTGACAAGCCAGAACAAATGAAGGAGCTGTTAAGAAGGCTTCAAAGTAAATGTCTTTAAATTATTATTTAGCAATTTTATGCTTTTCACTCTAAAAATATTTATATATTTAAAAATTAATTTATGTAACTACTTAATAATTTTTTTACATGTATTTATACTTTAAAACTTAACCAATTAACGTTGCCTTATAAGTGGCAAGGCACTTTTACTTATTGAGTGAAATATTGTGTACATGATGGCTAAAGTCCTATTTATTATTTTTGTCATGCTTACTGCACTGTTTGGCGAGAAGAACTCCTCTAGACTTAGTCTGGGGCTGTCTGCTGCTATAGTAACAAGAAAGTGCACATTTCTAATGTGCTCTTTCTTTTTCTAAATAAAGAAGTTGTTTGCCCATAAAGCAAAGATTCTCACACAGATCTGTGCCAAGATCAAGACGAAACTATTCACCCTACACCCCTATCTGAAGTGACTTGCCCCATTAACCATAGTACCTTTTGAGCCTTATATCTTGAAGAGTTCTTTTGAAAGCCACACAATAGTCCTATTTGCAATTTAATTGCAATCTATTACATAATTAGTATTATAATTAATTATTATTATTATACCTGGTGGGAAGTAAACTTGAAATATATCTGGGCCGTTTAAGGGTTAAATTACCCAAATCAAGATTGAATTTATTTTGAAAACACTACTATGATTTTCTGAAAAAAGTAGTACTTTTCTCTGTGAATTTTAGAGTCACATAACAAGTAAAAACAAGCTTTGAACTGCACTATGGTATGTGACAATTTGTTGGTGCCAGTACAGTCAACCCCACTTAAAGGAATACCATCGGTTCCAGTCAAATCTATGCTATTAAGCGGGTTATTCAATTAAAAGGGGAGTGCTATATTCAATCTTAAATTCTTAATTTTTGTGAAATTTTACTTTTTAATGGTATTTAATGTGTAGTGTAGCGTTTTGATTAAATAAACTCAGTTTTATGGTCAATAAATAAATAATTATAATTAAAACTTTCTACCTTAGTATCATAAAAAATATTTAAAGTTACATAAAAATAAATCAATGTTTGTGAATCATGTTGGATCTAAAATATTATTTGATCCCATCCGAAAAATTCTATAATTGAAGACTTTTTTTTGTACCCGTTTAATTCGTCAGTTTATCAAAATTAGATTTTTCCTTTTAGTTTCTATTAAAATTTTCATGGCTTGTGCATATTCCTTTCAAACACATTCAGAATTTTTTTTTTTTTAAATCTTCGAAACTTGAGAAATTCCTAATTAATGCGCTACTTTAGTTGGGGATTATTTCGAAATTTATTGATTCTAAGATTCATTGTTTTTTTTCTCCAATTAATTTAAATCATTCCTTTTCGCAATCAACTTGCAACCAAGAGGGGACCACAAGTCTTGACCTAAAAACAAATCACTCTATCCCTTTTCGACACACTAAATGATGTGCGAGTGAAGTAAGTCAAAGAGGAGTAAAACACCCTTCGTTTACTTCAATGTATAACTGGCAGCAAGATTTAATTAATTTTTCAACTTCATCCCAAACACCTACTAATGAATAAGTCCCAATTGAAATTACCATCTTGTATCCTTATCTTAAAAGGGGAAATTGTATTTTAGCTGGTGAAACATTTCTCAATAAACAAATTTTTTTCATTTCAGTACCACTTCTTAATGCAATTAAGTGGGGGCAAAAAACAAGAAATAACTGTTTAAACGGGGAAATTTAACATTAGTTTAATATAAAATGATTTGATTCCATTAAATTTTATTCATATAAGCGGATTATTCGAGTATCCGAGGGTCGATTAAGTGGGGACGACTGTATATCAAATGCTACTGCTATGTTTGAAAGCATAATATCTTATGCTTTCAAACATAGCAATTATATTTATTTATACATTTTTTAAGTGAAATATTTTACTAAATATCAATTTGCTTTCTAAATATTAGAAATAAATTAATTTTTTTAAAAATCATAACATGTTTTAATTACTTATGTTTGATGTTTTACGTGCTGTCACTCAGGACCAAAGATGGCTCAAAGTAAGTAATAAACTCTTATTTCATTTATATTTATTGAAACACAAATAGTTTTAATGTCAGACTTTGTTTGTTTGTTACATTTGCTGAGGTGTTGTAAAAATTTTATGTTTCAAAATAGCTTATAATGAAACAATTCTGTTTACATTTTTATGTTGAAATTTTGCATAATATTTGAAAATGCTCTATGAATTACTAAATATAATTATTTTATAGATGTTGACAATGTTCTTCAACGTATGACCATCATAGGAGTCATAATATGTTTTAGGAATTTAGCTGAAGATTCACTTAATGATGTAAGTCTACTTCCAAACATAAATATAGTATTATTTTCATTCATAAATGTAGTATTATTTCGTTTTAACAATATCAAAATAATGTATAATAACTGTTAAATATCATAATTTTGCAAAAGTATTTTATTTTTCAGCTATAGTATATTTATTCTAGGATATATATGTTTTAGAAATTTTCACATAATATTATAATATATTTATGAAATTAAGCTCAAGATTCATTTAATGATGTAAGTTTATTTAATAAGCATAAATATAGTGTTATTTTCATTCAATAAATACTCTTTAAATTTCAGTAGTTTTAATAATTAAAGTAATGTATAATAACTTCTAAATTTTAAAATTTTTCAAAAGTATTTTTTTTTCCAGCTATAGTATACATGTTTTAGACATAAACTTACATTATAATTTATCTTTGTTATTTAGCTGAAGGTTTATTTTTATGTAAAACTAAAAAGAAATATATATATGCAGTGAAACCTCCGTTAAGCGGACATTCATGGGACCAAAGAATTTGTCCGTTTATGAGAGTTGTCCGTTTACGGGAAGGGTACCCTAATAACGAAATTTAACACCGTAAATTGTTTTTAGAATATTCTCAAAGATGTAGAAATAATTAAATAATATCTACAAGGATACTGTAAATATCTACAAGAATATTTATTTAAACAATAAGAAAGATAAAAAAGAATATATAAAGAAGTTTGATATAAATACATAATTCTGGATGTAGCTACAGATAAATAAATATAATTTTCCTATTAGCATAGATACTCAAGTTAGACATATGATACCAAATAGGAGCGTACTGTCCTCAGTCCGTTTCAATTATTAGGTTCACATCCCCTTACACCTACTTATCATTTGATAGGGAACATGGTTAATACCTTCTTGGAAAATAAACCTCCCATGATTCACAGAAAAAAAAGTAATGCATACCTGTAAGTCATGAGGACCTATGGAGATGATTATTCACAATTGATCAGCTATCAAGTGTCTGAATAAATGTTTCATTTATATAAACACCTCAAAGATTATACTTCTGTTCTCTTTTTTTTACCCCAGTTGTGTTAAATACAGTCTTCAAATTGATAAGAAAATTAAAGAAATTTTCAATGGGGAAGAAGCATTGAGAGAAGTCATTTCAACTTGAGGGGTCTCATAACCTGTGTGGTCCAGATGAAAAGATCAAAAGATGCCGATGTCAGAATTATTTCAGGAGTGCAGTACCATTTTCTCTCCTTTCTTTACAAAGATAAGGCAAGGTGACAGGAGAAAGATTGATTTTTCGGTGGTGAAATAGCTTAACAATATTTTTAGTTATGGATAAGGCAAAAAGTTTTATTTACATGCTTTAAAAATGGTGAAAAGTTGAATTTTTTTAGCTTGCAATTTATTTAGAAAAAGTAGTGTCCGGTTTGTAGAGATAAAAAACAACGTTTCAGGACCAAAATGACTGTCCGCGTCCGGTTATGGGAGTGTCCGCTTTGCGGAGAATGTACGTAATGGTTTATTCATAGAAGATTCTCGGGGAATTAAAAATATGTCCGTATTGAGAGGCGTCCGTTTTGCAGGAGTGTCCATAACATGAGGTTTCACTTTATATATATAAACAGTGTCATTCATACTCAATAACTTTAAACTTGGATAGTCTTAGAAATTAAAATAATGTATAATAACTGCTGAATATTATTCTTTTCTGAAAATTTTGTTTAAGGAAAAGCAAATTTTATGAAACTGAATTATTAATTTTTCATTTAGGTTCTTACAGAACGTATTCCTTTCCTATTGAGTTCAGTGTGTGACTTTAAAAATCATGTGCCAAATGGAGATTCTATGGTTTGTATAATATTTTATCATATGTTAGTATAGTATTTTATTGTTTGTAAAATATTTTTCCTGTGGTTGCATTTTATTTTTATGTTTTTTCTACTTTTTATAAGCATAAATTTTTGAAACTATTCATATTTGAGTATTTTTCGACTGCATTCTATTTATTAAGTCCAATAAAACTCAGTGTAATTTTAAATTAAATTTTAGTATGTCTAAATTTGAAATTTTGGATAATTATTTAATATTTGATAGCTTTATATCTATAGTAATTCTTAGGATAATTAAATTTTACCTATATAAAAAAATTATATTAGAAATAAAAAAAAACTTTCTTATGATGTGTATATGTGTGTAGTTTAAAGTTAAATATGTCTACATTTAATTAACTATCACTTGATCAACCTTACAATTACGAAAATTATTATCAACATAATCTGCTTTTAAATGTTATAACTTTTTGAGGGTTATTTTTAGTAATTCAGCCCTTTAACAGATAATTTGAATTTTAGATTGTTTCTGAAATGGCTTCAGCTGCCGGCTTTCCTTGTCGTGTTGATCCAGATTTAGTAGCTGCTTTACGTTCTCAGAAAAATGGTAAACATTAATTCATATTAAATTTTTAGATTTCATTAATGAGTATTCAAGCAATTTTTTTATAAATAACTTTTAAATTTTATTTATTTATTTAGTTTTTTTGAGATCAGTAAGAAGTATCAGGTGAATCTTTAAAGCTGTATTGGAAGAACTCAACAGAAACAAAATTTGAAGAATTTTTTTCTGTTACTTTATTACAGATTTAACTGTACAGGAATTTTGTTAATTTTTTAGTGTCATTGAATAAAATTCATCTTAAATTTAAAAAAATACTACAGAGTTTTTTTACAAAATTTTTATTTACAAATTTTTCTGCTCATATGTTAGATTTAGCTGAATTTTCGCAATAATATGTAGCTGACTGCTTCAAGGTCACAGACAAATTTGAATTTACCAAGATAGTGCTCCATAAATTTTGGTACTGATGATGCACTTATAAATTTAATACCATGTTTATGTGCATATTATCAACATGATTATTACAAATAGTTTTTTTATATATATATATTTTTGAAAAAAAAAGCACATCAAGTGAAAAATGCTATAAAATCAGCATTTTTTCTTTAACTAAGCAAAAAGTATGAATAAAAATTTAAAACAATTTTGTGTGCTATAGGAAGTATGTCAGTACTATATATGTTGGAAATCTTTCACCAATTTGGGTGAAAGTTAAAGAATGTATCACATATGCCAGAATTGAAAACACCATTTGATGTTTGCAAAGACTTTCCAGCTAAATACTCATGAATGCATAATGTATTTACTTGCGAGATAATTATGCTTTCATATTTCCGTTGTTAAAAAAATGTTTTTTCTTTCTTCTCTCAGTGAAGAAAAATTTCTACTTTATTAAGTTTGAAGCTTTTAAATAGTTAGCCTGTATGATCGACTATTAGTCTCTCAAGTTCTTCGTTTTAATGTCAGTAGTAAAGTATTTTAACAAATATTTTATAAAAAAAAATAAATTTATAGGAATATGGCACATTATATAATGTGCTATATGACACATTTTTACAGTTAAGCGAACGACAAAATTTTTTTCAGTTTTATCAGTTTAGAGTTAAAATTTTAGTTAATAGCATTATAAATTTTAGCTGCATATCAATATAGAATTTGTGTATTAAAAAGTAAAATTTCCATTGATTAGATCTAGGTGAAGATGAATACACAATAGCTTGCTTACTAATGGTATTTGTTGCTGTATCTTTGAAAAAACTGTCAAGAAATGAGGCATCATTTTATAAAGCATCTCTTGAAGGTAAGACTTTATATTTTACTTCTTTTGTTCTTACAAATCTACAATTTGCTCAGTTTTATTTCAATAAATAAAGAAAAAGATACTTGACTTATCCATAAATACCTGCTAGTAAATTAATATATTATGAAAAAAGTGTTGAATTTAATATCATTCCATTGTCAGGGATGAGATTTTACCGCTTTTTAGCAGATTCCCACTTTTTTCGCTTTTGTTTATCAAATATCAGCCTTTTTATCAAAAACTTCGATTCTCTAAAAGTTTTTAATAAATATTCCGCTTTTTCTGGAAATTAAGTCGTTGAAATAAAATAATTATATCTATTTCCGATTTTAAAAGGTAACAGAATACTCAATCGACGTAGCTACCAACCCTCCCGAATTTTTACTTATTTTAGAACACCTGCTCGCCAGATAGCTCGTATTTTCGTAATTCAGATGTCTTGCTGCTTCCTTTTAGCTGGCGCGAAAGCAAACAAAATAATAAGAGAAAATAGCGGTGGATTTGCAATGAAAATATTTATTTGCTCATTCAATTAATCTTGTAAATTTTTATTTATTATGGCTAACAAAAAACAATACAAACAAGCCTTTTAGAAATCCCAAGTCCAGAATGTGTTAATACCTTGATTCATGTGATTTTAATATCAAACATCAATTTTCGTATTTAATTGATTTGAAAATTGCGCATTGCGATTCTTATTCACGCGATTTAAGTATCGTTCATTGCGATTATTATTTATGAGATTTAATAATCCAATAGCGCGATTTGTATTTAAGCGTTTTTAAAATCCTACATAGCGATTCGTGTTCAAGCGAGTTTAAAATCTAATGTTGTGATTCGTTTTTCGTTTAGACATGGGGATTCGTATTTAAACAATCTAAAATTTACGCATCGTGATTTGTATTTTTGCATTTTTGAAAAAGTCTTTAACTGCATACTCTCATCAATTTAAATATATAATATGTTCAAATGATAAACTTTTAGAACTTTTTAATGTATATGCAAAGCTTTCCAAATATTAAAATAACTGCCTGTTGACAAAAAGTGAAATCATATTTTATGCTTACATAAATATTTCTTATAATTATTTTCAGGCCATACCAATAATATACACTGCCTAGCTGAAGCCATCAATGGAATAGCTGGTGCTTTGTTTACTATTTGTGGCCATGGGGATATTGAAGATCGATTGAAAGAATTTTTGGCAGTAAGTAACAATCCTTCTATTCTGTAATTAAGTGCTATGGTACTAATCAGTAACAGTCTTTCGATTCTGTAATGAAGTATTATAGTACAGTAGAGCGCCGATTATCCGAACCCTTATTATTCGAACGTCCAATTATCCGAACTATGTCCGAATTAGTTTTTTTTTTTTTTTTTAAAGTTTAGAATTTAATTTACAACCTTTTTTTAGCAGTTTTCTTACTGTTGCCATACATATATTGTTATACAGTTAAATCTACATACCCCTTTAGCCCTCTTCGACGGAAAATTATCTTCCAATCGGAATCGGAACTCCACAGACGAAGATATAGGTGTTCAAGTTCAAGTTAGTGGATCTTCTCATATAGAAGTATGCAATTCATTAGATACTGCAATGAATTGGCTATAACGTCAAAATGATGTTGATCCAGTTCAGTTGATTTATTTAAAAAGAATAAGGGATATGGTTGCTCACAAAAGAGCATCTTCTTTGAAACAAAAGTCTTTGCTGGATTTCTTTTGAAATGGAGTATAAAGAAAAATGTGCTAAAATCAGTAATTCACAAAAAAATTATGAAAAGCAGAAACATGATTAAAAAAAATTCAAAATAAAAAAAAGTAAAAAATAAGTAAATAAAAATGAAAAAAAAAAATACTTTTAAACACGCCAGAGTTGTTTTAGACAGTACTGCCAGTCATAAGCCTGGAAAAAGTGCGAAGGGAAGTTAGTGCATAAATAATAGTCAATTAAACTAGATTTTAAACAACTTTCCAACTATCCGAACCACGTTCGGTCCAGAGCAGTTCGGATAATCGGTGCTCTACTGTACTCATATTTAATTTTTTTATAACTATCACAGTTATGAAGTTTTTTTTTATTGCTTTTTTTCATACTTTTTATGAATTCTAAAATTAAAATAATGTAATTGCGTTATAAAATTTTTATTAGCCTACATCTACATTATCTTTTAAAAATGTTATTTCATAGGAAGTGTTTTCCAGGATAATTCTAATTGGTTCCTTTTTTTCTCTGAAATTCTTTTATATATTATTTTTTCCTTTCAAAGTTTGCTAATTTACAATTCAGAGTGCCCAAATTCCACATGTAGATCAAAGATCAGCAATATTTTTCTGAATTCACTTAACAAGAGACCCATATATCTATTACTAATTTGATTGTTTTCTGCGGGACAAGCACGGTTAAGTGACCGTCCCTCTCAATGAATTCCATTAGATAGTCAGAAGTTAACTGTTCATAAGCTTCAAGAATAATTAAAATGAAAATGTTATATTTTTATGATTTCAATTTGAATTGTTATAATAAAGTAAAACATTTAAAAAAAAATTATGATCCAATCATGGTAGTACTGGGAACCACTCTTAATTCTTAACTCATATCTTGAAAATTTGTTTATTTTTAACTAATGTTTTAGTATTTTATTTGATATGTGTTACTCCTTTAAAGGTGGTATCCTTCAGACAGAAAAGTTATTACACCTCCTCCATGTAAACCTACTTAAAATTATGTGTCTGGAATTTTTGTTTCATTTTAAGGTATTCTACGGAGTTAAAAATTTTAAGTTTGCAAATATTTTTAAGACTTGAACTTTGAAAAAGTTATAAAAATATTTACAAATTTAAAATTCTTTAACTCAGTAGAATATATTTCAGTGAACAAAATGAAACAATTATTCAAAGGTATTAATTAGTTACATAATAAATAACGAAATTCCAGACATTAAATTCTCCATAGGTTTGCATTGAGGAAGTATAATCACTTTACTGTCTGAAGGGGACCTTTAAGGGAATAATATACAGGGTTATTCATAATTCCTTCCGTCTGTAAACACCATTTTTCTTTTCTACAACTGGCTTCAGTGGTACATGCTACTGCCATCTACTGGCAACTGCTTAAATTAAAACTTGAATACTTTCGGAATATGTTCTTTTTTGCCATATTCGTCCCCGTTTTTTTTACTATAACGCTTCAAAACCCCGGAGGGAATTATGAATAACCCTGTATATTGAATAAAATGCTATAATATTATTTAGGAATAAACAGGTTTTCAAACTACGAGTTCAGAATTAATGGTGGTTCACAGTACAACCACGTGGATCAAGAAAATTTTTATTATTTGAAGTATAAAAAGAATAGAAAATTTTGATATTTGAGATACATAAATATGAGTGATTTGGCATTAAAATGTTTTTATAGGTGCAGAAAGCATTTGGGGCTGCAGTAATTTTACTGTAATTGGAAATGAAATTAAAGTAAAAATGCCATGCATAAAGTATTTTATTTTAGTATAAAGTATAAATATATTATTACGCATAAAGTATATTATTACAAATAGAAATCTCAAAAATATAACTTTTTCAAAAAAGAAAAAAAATTCTGATCAAGAATATGGCGAAACTTTATAAAATTTTCTTTTGAAACGTCCTTGCACAGTTAACTTCTGATTATACATGGAATTCATGGGTGGGACTCAATATTCTCTAATCACACAATGTGACCTCTTGTCAAATTTTATAATTAAACACTGCATTTTTACAATCGTCGCCACACGAGGGGGTTACTGAAATAGAGCTTACAGTTAAGTACAGACCAGATGGATAAGAGTTTTAATATTTTCTTAAGTGAATTTCAATTCATAAAAATATTGCTGATCTTTGATCTACACCTGGAAATTAGAAACTGTCAATTACAACAGAAGTTATGATAGTTGTAACAGTAGGGAACCGATTATCCGGAACGGTCGGGACCATCGCTATTCCGGATAACTGATTTTTCCGGTTTTCTGAATCGCTACAAAAAGCCGTTTTTTTTATTGTTAAACCCAACTAAAAGAGGAAACAAAATTGGAAATAATCTTAAAAATAAGAAAAAAACAATGAAGCAATACACTAATGATTATTTCCAAAATGATGGTAAGGTAAACATCTTTAAAAAAAAGAAAGAAAAATCGTAAAATCTTATGATTAAAATTATTAAAAAATGGCATGAAAATGTATCGAATTTCGTTCCGGATTTTGGTTTTCCGGTTTTCTGATTTCCGGATAACGGGTTCTGTACTGTATATGCCAACTTTTAAAGCGATGATTGCATTTTAAAACACTCTTCTATTTTTGCGTAGCTGGCATCATCTAGTCTATTAAGACTAGGACAGGAAAACGACAAAGAAGCCACAAGAAACAGGGAATCAGTATATATTTTACTCGACTTGATCGTACAAGAGTCGCCCTTTTTAACGATGGATTTACTGGAATCTTGCTTTCCTTATGCTCTACTTAGGAATGCATATCATGCTGTATATAGAACTGAAAATGTATAATCAAAAATGCCTTCAAAAACAGTTTTGTGTTCATGCTTCGTTTATAAATATTTTATATCAAGAATATGCAGTTACATCTATGATGAACATTTGAATGCTTGTGGAAAGTGCATTTATTCTTCCCCATTTATTTCATTCTTTTTTGTTCCTCATTTTTTGTTTATCGTTAAATGCAGACTAAACATTACCAGAGCAGGGAAGCCAACTAGGTTGTGTAAAGGTTATAGGTTACTGTAGGCTGAATATATCTACTTTAAAAGGGAAATTTGGTGTTGAATATCCCATTTTTGTGCTCTTATTTTTCTTGTTCAAGTTCATCTAGTGCCTTTTTCTTCCAATTGAAATTCATTGAAAGTAAGAAATTAGCTGTATCACCAATATCTTTTAAATGCAGAATAATTTGTGATTTTTAGAAACCTTGAACAAAATGCAGTTAAAATTTATGTACATTTGGGGTTACAAGTTAATATTTAAGCAAAGAAAAACATTCTTTTGAATCAGTATTGAGAAAGGCATGACTGAAAAAAAAAATTAAACCTGCTTGATTGCTGGAGGAAACTGAAAAGAACACTTTCAAGTTTATTCTTATTTAAAACTCTCTCTTAAGTATTGTTAGACAATCTAACTATTTTAGTTTTATTGCAGTAGCTCTTGTTCATTCCTAGCATCTTGTCCATTTTGAATTCTCAAGAACAATCATTACAGAACACCCTTTTGAAAATGCAAATTTTTAATGTGTTGCAAAAAAATTTTCTTCTGGAAAAAGATGCACATTTTTTCTTAATTTCTTTATTTATTAATTTTAATAGATGTTTGTAAATGAAAACATTAAGATGAGTTTTAAAAATTTATAGCATGTTTAACAGGATTAAAACATTCTCATATATGATTATTTATTTTACTGACATGAATTTTAGCTTAAATTGCTATTTACAAATTTATGTTTTGTTAAAATAAGTGAATTTTCTTTTGTTGAAGAATAAATTAGATAGAAATAGTGTTTATTAATTCCTTTTTTTTTGGCATATTTGTTTTATAAACATTAATTGCATACTAAAAATAAAAAAATAGGCATTTTTTTTCTCTGCATTCTAAAAGCTGATTCAAACAATCTACTGACATCATTTAAATAAAGGGAATTTGATAGCTCCGGAATGATGAACCGTTCGCATGAACTATTTTTTTGCAGTTCTCATAAATATCATTCTATCCACTCAATATATATTCTGATTTTTTTTATCTTTAGACACTATATTAGACTTTGTTAAAAATGTTAAAGCTTGTTTTCTATTGAACATTTTTATCGCTTATTTTATTATTATTTTAAGTGTGACGTTTGTTGACCATGGTAAAGTATTCCTAGAAGTTGGCTTCCCTGTCAATGTTTTTATTAATTAGTATATATTTCTTGAGAAAATGAATTAAAAGTGTATGTACATTAATCATATATTTTAATTAAGGAGTGCCATTGATGTAATGCGGCAGTTGTTTTTAATGTGGTGAAATAAAAAACTATTTAATATACTTGCTTTGCATTTCTTATGAGAGCATTAAAAATGTATTTACCTATGTATATTTATACATATATATATGAGAATTGTAATTTATATATACTTTTCTTTTTATATTATTGAACTTTTATTTCTTTAAATTTATATTAGTTTGTTACTGATGCTTTGTTTACATGTATATAAAGAAATAAAATTTCCAAAGAATCGCTTATTCTTAATTTGTTATTATTTAAGACATGCAAAGAAACATACTGTAAAAAAATTATTCACCACAATATTCATGACAGATGTTCATTAAGAAATTCGATGTTAACATTTTATTATACATAACTTACACCGAACAGCCATTACATTATGACCACCCTCCATCTGTAACAATGGACTCTCCCAAGTTTTCATGGTTTCTCGCCCAGGAACAATGTTTTCATGGGGCACATTAGGACCCATAATCCTCATAGAACAATCCCTGACGTCTGTAAGCTACTTGCAGAACAGGTTCACCCATTCATGGCAACAGTTTTTCCTGCAGGGGATGGTGTTTACCAACAAGATAGTGCACCATGTCATAAGGGTCGAAGCGTTGAGGAACATTCCAGTGACTTTCAAGTCATGTTTTGGCCCCCAAATTCACCTGACCTTAATCCAATAGAGCATTTGTGGTCCTACTTGGAAAATAAAATTCGTGCTGCCACACTACCCCTCGCAATGTGAGGGAATTGCAGGACCAGTTAGTGAGCACTTGGTACCAGATACCGCAGACTACCTATCAGCACCTTGTGGAATCAATGGCACGGCAGGTGCTAGCAGTTTTGAGGGCTAAAAGTGGTCATAATGTAATGGCTCTTTGGTGTATATGATCCAAAAATCGATATATATTTTTTCACGTTGGCAATGAAGTGCCGAAATAATCCAAGCTATATATTGGATAGAAATGAAAGCGAAAGTTAGCTGTAAATAATTAAACTGTACTACATATTTGTTTCATTTATGTTCATTAGTTTATACAGGTTATAATAATAATAGTAATTTAAGAGCTGTATTAGTTTTAATGATGTTTGTAAATTTAAATGTGTAGGAAGAGAGGCCTTTCAGTAAAGTTGCAAAAAAAAAATGCTTATTAAAAAAAAAAAACCCAATTTAAAGTGACGAAAGCTGTGGAGGCTCAGGCTCGAATTCCAACTTTGGATCGCACAGACCACAGTGCTGACCTGAAATATTCTCATAAGTAGACGGATTATGGCTTAGAGTTCCCTTGCCGTCATGCTAACAGTGGGAGGTTTTCTTCTCCACGTAACGCGAATGCGGGTTAGTTCCATTAAAAAGTACTCACTGGAGGCAAATATCTCTTTGTCTTCTGGATTGGGGTCAAGATCACTGGGCATTACTCTAATGAGCATTATTCTTTTATGGTCACTTTTTTTTAAACATACGGCAATGAAAAAAGCTAAATTAAGATTTTTATCGTTAAATCTTTAGTTCAAAAATCAAAAGAGATTTTTGTTTTGTTTACTTAGAAAATTGAGATTCTCAACGTTAAATTTATTTCTGGTTCTCTTTTGATTTTTTTAATTAATATTTTATCAGTTTTTCTATTATGGCAGCATTTTTTGAGTCATCATTAAATTTAAAATTAAGTTTGCTAGATCACGCTTAGACTAAAACAAAAATGAGCGACAATGAACGTAGCACAGCATAATAATCAGAAAATTTTTAGGGTTAAGATAATTCGTCTTCGCCAATGATTCACTACGGAATCTAAAATATTATTCAAACGTCGGACATTCACGATTCAATCATAAATATTATTCCAGCTAAAACTATTGACAAAAGTACTGCTATTGTTACAACTAAGTTCACAAAACCACACTTTAAACAAAATCGAAAATGCGCGACAACGAAAGACAATGCGCGACACAATAAATGCTCAGGCGAAATTAACAATTCACTTTCGTCGAATATTCGCAATGGAATAAAATATTATTCAGTAAAGTAGCATCAGTATTACGATCAAGAATTTGTTAGATAACTCTACGATAACAATAATAATAATAAAATTTAAAAAAACGATGATCAACTAATATTGCTTGACAACGAAGACGAACAATCAACATTAAAGTGCTCAGACGGAACGAAATTGTGTAATGATAATTCCCTTTAGTAGGATATTTACTTTTGATTTTGCATTTATTCCATATCTGTAGAAGGCTTCATTATATAAGTTTAAAATTTTTAAAAAATCCCTATTCCAAAGGGAATCCGCCTGACGCAATCTATTTTCCTCAGCGGAATAAGAATATTAGGAAATAAGAATAATTTCCTAATATTTACTTGAAAGTTTTAAACAGGATTGATATAGTGTTTAAAAATACATTTATATGATAAAAAATTGCATTTTTATGTATACCCATTCTTGAAATTGAAATATAAATCTTTATCTTTTCCAAAAACTGATTAAAAAATAAGGCATTTTTCCACCGTTAATTTATATTTAAGAATATGAACACATAAAAAAATGATTATTGGTATTGTTTCACAATATGTTCTATGAATGAATACATTGCAGTATCTCTCATGTATTAAGTAAAGAATTCAAAATTTTAGAGCAATTAAAAATAATAATAATACACATCCGGTGGAAAAACGCGCTTAGCAGCAGTGAATCCAAAAGGAATTAAATAAGAATAAAAACATGAAGGAAAAAAAAAAGAAAAAAATTGGATAATATGACAACCAAAGCTGACGTCCTCGGGGGGTGCAAGCTTCGGAAGTAATAAGACCAAGACTAAACAAGACTAGTTTTAAATACTTGTTGATATATTATTATTGATATATTTTTGCACGTATATCATTACATGCAAAACTGGAAAAAAAAAAAAAAAAGCACGCGTAAACATTTTGTCTCACATTTTCACTTATTAATTGGTCCGCGATAAATAAATTGCTAGTTTTTTAAAAATTTAATTTCGGAAATATGGTTAGGTAATTGTTAGAGAAATAAAACCTTAGATAAGAAATCGGGTTTGATCCTAGATAGGTAAATAAGAGTGGTCCGTAAGTGCGACTCTGCAGTACGCAGAAATGCAATTACAGAGCTGAAATTTGACCTGTTGAAAGGATCCTTTTTAATTTATATTTAACGCAACTTTTTTCGATCGTTATTGCAATTTTAAGCACTTTATCGCGATTTTTCACCACTCTTTCTGGTACAAAAAATAACTATTTATCCATTGATGTAAAAACATTTATCGCTTTTGAATTCTCAATTTTATAAGCTCGCGCTTGATTTAATACAAAAAAAATGATTATAAAGATGTAAAAGAGTGAGGAATTGAATGTTGCCAGATACCTAATATTTTGTAACGAAGTTTTTAAATATATAAAAGTTTCAGGAGAGTTGTAGTTAATTTACGTCGCATTAGAGCTGCACAATGGTCATTTCCTGGTCAAATTATTAGACGCACTATAAGATTCTATGTAAAATCTTAATTATCAGGTGATACTATACAGCTTTATTGTTTTTACAAGGCTGAAATCGGTTTACTCTTGTTTATGTTCGTGTATCAATTGGTTAATATTGTAATGCAATACGTTAAAAATAAATATTATACAAATAGGAAGTATATAAAAAATCTCCAGAATAAAAACCCATTACATGTATGTTTAAACAAAAAAGTATTGGTGCAAAGCATGCAATTAAAGCACTACAGTGCGTCTGATAATTTGGTCTAATTATTTATTTATTTATAACCGTCGTTGAACAGCCGACCCAATTTCATGGGTTTAGGACTACTTACTTACGTTCAACTCCGTAGCCTTGTAATTTTGAACCAATCCAGAAGACAAGGAAACTACTGGATCAGCACCCCCAGAGGTATTGATTTGTTGTGGGAACATGGAGGACTTTGAGACCCGATAGATTTAACGTGCATCAGTCACCATTTACTACACGGGGAGTCTTCGGCCGGGGAGGATTGAACCCACGACCTCTTAGATATGGGCCCAGCGCCCTACCGACCAGACTATCCCGGCCTATGGTCTAATTATTATAATATACTAATATAATACCTGAATTATTCTATATTTATATAATATATCGTCTAATTTATCCAATTATGGAATTTATATATATCGCCTAATTTAACCAATTGATACACGAATGTAAATAAGTGCAAACTGGTTTCAGTCGCGTAAAAACACTAAAGTTGTATAGTATAACCTGGTAATTAAGATTTTACATAGAATTTAATAATGCGTCTTAAAATTTGGACGGGGACTGTATAGTGAAGGAATTGAAATCCTTGTGAGCGAATCTTTGCGTAAGAATATAGAATGTGTCACTTAAGAGAAATGATACTTGAAGGGCTTGGCTTACTCGAAATAGAATGGAAAGAACTGTTGCTAACGTAAACAAATACCACGTTTCAATAACCAATCAGCATTGAGATACCCATACTGCGTCACTTGCAGGCATCCCATTCTTTTACCACTATTTTATTTTTAATATGAACGTTGTTTGAAATTGCGAAAATAAACAACAACAAAAAAGTTAAAAACTTTTCAAACTGTTCATATTTGAAATAGTAATTTTAAATAGCATTAGTGCGGAAATAATAACATTTTCCCCACTTATGAAAAAATCCAATTCGAATGTGGTACAAATTTCAAACGCTAATAGCAATCAGTAACATATTTTCTGAAATTTTTAAAAATTATTCGAATAAAGGAAGAATCAAGTTGCAATGAAAAACGCCTCGTAAGGATTACAATTTAAAAATTTGTTTTTCTTACTCGCCAAAAATTATTTCTTTAGATTAATTTATTAATAATTACCAAAATGCATTTTTATAATTATTATTAAATTAAGTAATTAAAAGATTACTTTTGAATAAATGTTTTTGTTTTAATTCTATTCTGATTATTTTCTGATTCGTATTTAGTGGCTCGAATCCGTCTATAGTTTAATTATTTGGACTGGATTTTCCAAATTGTGGATACTCTTTATAATTGGAGTCAAAAATATGAATTCGCCGTAAGAAAACGGTTGGGTTTCTTTATGGAAAGTAAAGTAAAAGTTCGTTATAACAAACCTCTTTTCTTTTTATTACGGACAATTATTTTGATTTTCAATACATATTCAGAGTAGACTGCTTTTGTCTACAGATTGTAGACTTAATTACGTAACTCTGTACTTTACAAAAGAAATTTCTTTAA